GGTCACAGATGCTGAAAGTCCTCTTCTTGGGGAGATTACTTGTGGTACCTTACTGCAAAAGTTGCAGGTAAAATTCTCGCAACCATCTCGTCTCTAATAAGCTGCAGGGCTTTTACTCAACCTTGTGTAAACCTGATCTTCGTTACAAATCCTCTTTTTTTTCTTTTAATAGGAAATTTGGGATGAAGTTGGTGAGAGCGATGAGGAGCGAGACAAATTGCTTCTTCAGATAGAGCAAGAGTGTCTTGATGTTTACAAGAGAAAAGTCGAGCAGGCTGCGAAATCACGAGCCGAGCTTCTCCAGACCTTGTCAGATGCCAATGCTGAGCTTTCCAGCCTCACAACGTCTCTTGGAGAAAAAAGTTTTGTTGGCATCGTAAGTCTTGTCCAACGTTTGAAAGTGGAAAACTTTGTTTCTTGATGTTTAAAGTGATTCATGTGTCTTTTTCTTCTTCTGTTGTTGCCAGCCGGATAAGTCTTCAGGAACGATTAAAGAACAGCTTGCTGCTATAGCACCGGCTCTTGAACAACTGTGGCAGCAGAAAGAGGAGAGAGTCAGAGAGTTTTCTGATGTGCAATCGCAAATTCAGAAGATATGTGGAGAGATTGCTGGCGGTTTGAGCATTGAGGTTCCTATAGTGGATGAGTCTGATTTGTCCCTGAAGAAACTAGACGATTTCCAGAGCCAACTCCAAGAGCTTCAGAAAGAGAAGGTAAATAACAACAAAAAAAAACAATTAGTTGGGACTATCTCGAGATGTGGCGATGTTATGTAACCAAACATGCTTGTGTTTTGGCAGAGTGACAGGCTTAACAAGGTGCTCGAGTTTGTGAGTACTGTTCATGATCTATGTGCCGTTCTTGGTTTGGATTTCTTAAGCACTGTCACAGAAGTTCACCCGAGCTTAGATGAAGAAACCGGTGTCCAGTCTAAGAGCATTAGCAATGAGACACTTTCACGCTTGGCTAAAACCGTCTTAACCCTTAAAGATGATAAGAAGCAAAGACTTCAAAAGGTAAACACGAATCTCTCTGCAGAGCTTTACTGTTATAGAATTATTTGACCGGAAACATGTTAAGATGAAGAGATTCATTTATGAACAATATGTCTTTTTCCTGTTTCAGCTTCAAGAACTGGCTACTCAGCTAATTGATCTGTGGAACCTGATGGATACTCCTGATGAGGAAAGGGAGCTTTTTGATCATGTTACTTGTAACATTTCAGCTTCAGTCGATGAGGTCACTTTGCCAGGTGCTCTTGCACGTGATCTGATCGAGCAGGTATTAAAGTTTATTTGCATTGATCTATAGTCCTATGTGTTCTTACGTATTAGTTACTCCTTTTGCTAAAAACTCATGTACTTCTTGAAGGCCGAGGTTGAAGTGGATAGGCTTGACCAGCTGAAAGCTAGCCGCATGAAGGAAATTGCTTTCAAGAAACAATCTGAGCTCGAGGAGATATACGCTCGTGCCCACGTAGAGATAAACCCCGAATCTGCTCGTGAGAGGATCATGTCACTGATTGACTCTGGAAACGTTGAGCCTACTGAGTTATTGGCAGACATGGATAGCCAAATAGCCAAGGCTAAAGAAGAAGCGTTTAGTAGAAAGGATATATTGGACCGAGTCGAGAAATGGATGTTAGCTTGTGAGGAAGAGAGCTGGCTAGAAGACTACAATCGGGTAATGCATAGTTTCTCTCGATCACACACTTATGATACACCATTAACACATTAGCTTTATCTTGGATCTTGAGCTTTTTTTTCCATGGTTTCGTTTTCTGAGAACAGGATCAGAACAGGTACAGCGCAAGCAGAGGCGCGCATTTGAATCTCAAGAGAGCTGAGAAAGCTCGGATTCTGGTCAGCAAGATTCCTGGTATGTGTGTAGACTTGGAAAACATCTTTTTTTTGTATTCACATCTCATAAAGATTGAATATTTTTTTGTTTTGTGAAAAGCCATGGTTGACACTTTGGTTGCCAAGACCCGAGCATGGGAAGAGGAACACAGCATGTCCTTTGCCTACGACGGCGTTCCTCTGCTAGCTATGTTAGACGAGTACGGTATGCTTAGGCAAGAACGAGAAGAGGAGAAACGGAGGCTGAGGGTAAGTTCATAACTCTTCTCGTCGATTACAGTTTCAGTGGCTCCATAAACTCAAAATCTTTTGGTCTTGATAAACAGGAACAAAAGAAGGTTCAAGAACAGCCACACATAGAGCAAGACTCTGCATTTAGCACAAGGCCAAGCCCTGCGAGACCGGTCAGTGCTAAGAAACCGGTAGGGGCACGAGCTAACAACGGAGGAGCCAATGGAGCACCGAACCGGCGTTTGTCTTTGAACGCAAACCAGAACGGAAGCAGGTCTATTGGGAAAGAAGGAGGGAGAAGGGAGAGTCTCAACAGGCCGGCTGCTCCTACAAACTACGTTGCCATTTCGAAAGAGGAAGCTGCTTCATCTCCGGTTTCTGGTGCTGCAGATCAAGCCACAGGTTCACCGTGAAGATAAGAAAAGAAAAGATCTGTAGTTTTTCACTCTGTTTGTGAGTTTGTTTTAGGGAGAGAGGGTTCTGTGAAACACCTGAGAGAAGACAACAAAAAACATTTGAGAGTAGTAGAATGGTGTACTAGAATGTGTATGTGTGTGTGTGTGTTTTGTTAGTGTTGTTTTAATAGTTGGTATCATCATCATCTTGCCTAAAAAACCACCTTTTTTACCTGCAAATGGCTTTGTCTAGTGAAGTGAATATGGGAGTAAATGTAAAGGCTGTGGAAGATTAAACACAACTTTCGCTTAAAAAGTTGAATTATGAAATAAGACGCAATACTGAAAATAAGTACTAAACATAACTGCCTAAATTATAACATTAAGCATGCATGTTGATGTGGAAAGGCGGGTGACATAAGCCATTAAAGAAGGAAGAGAGCCCACTTCTTCTGGCGACGATGATTTGTCTTATTCCATCCAGTGGTCCTAATGGCTACGATTACTCCTACCGACCTTTCACCGTAACTTCGTCCTAAGACTATATGTACAATGGTACAAACCTTCCACCTCAGTTTTTAATACTCCACATCATGTTTTCTTTCTTCCACCTAATCATTCAACATCCATTCAATTTATATTGCTTCTAATGGTTTTGTTTAATAAAATTCAACATCATACCCTACTATTATTTTATATTATCATTTTCTTTATCTTTTAATAATTATATCTTTATAACAATTATTGATTATAATTAAACTAAATAAATTACAAAATTATTTTTAAAACCTTCATTTTATATAAAAGATAAAAACAATAATTTTGGGTATTATAAAGATTATTATTGGGATCCATCCATTTTGAGGAAAGAAAGTTTAAAACTAAAAATAAGTATTTATAAAAAGAATTTGTAAAGCTTAGAAAAGATGATTTTTTGTATGTGTCCAAATCAAATGAACCAAGTATCTATTTATAGAACATAAAAAATGATAAATTTTGATATATAAAAAAAATATTTATATATTTAATTTATTATGAAATAATTGATATTGAATCATTGAGATGAAAAAAGAAAACCAGAAATCTAAACAACCAATCAGAATTCAACTCATATTGTTATCTCTATATAAATATCAATTTATTTTTAGATTCAATCAAATTAAGACACGTGGCAGTTACTTTTACTTTTTAACCGAATTGAACACTGATTTCAACACATGTTTCAACACCCTATTTCATACATTCAACTGTTGAATAAATATTCAACATACCCATGGTAAGTAGTCTAAGCTCAAACCACAAACCGCTGGTTCTTTGCTGAACCACACACCTGACCATTTCAAAAACGGAGAGTGGAACACTGGCGGGTATTGCAACAGAACGATGCCGTTTAAAGAAGAGGAGGCAAAATTGAAAACCGTTGATGATGTAGATGTGGGTATTTTGGTTAATTAATGTCACGATGGATGAGTTGAGCTCAAAAAGAGCTAAGGCTGCGTGGAAAGGTATATGCAAACCAAAGATGGAGGGTGGTTTGGGAGATTTAAAAGGAGGTTAACACAATAAGTCACTTTATATGGCGAATATATACCATCTTCTCACTCATCTTTGTGGGTAACTTGTCTAAGGGGGTATTTGATTCATAAAGGCTCATCCTGGTTCGGTCAATGAGAATACTCAAAGAAGGTCTTGGATGTGGAGGGGAACCTTAAGGATGAGGGATATATATATAGCCAAATGATACTTCTCACAAAGTCGATGTTCAAAGTGGTAAATAAACATCGTTTTGGCATGATTCATGTTCTTCTTTGGGAGAAAGGCGACATATAGATGTGGGTATTTTGGTTAATTAATGTCACGATGGATGAGGTAATGATGAATCGTCATCGAAGGAGAAAGCATAGGCTCGTGCAGCTGAACAATGTGGAAGATGAGATTTATTGCTCTTTGAAGATACAATCAAGAAGAAACAAGTTCACTTCAAAAGACACTTGGAACCTAATCAGAGGAGGGCAGCCTAAGATCCATTGGGTTAAGGATATATGTGGTTTACTACCAAGATATTCTTTTCTCTCGGATGCTACACTCGATCGATCACATCTTCTTAATCATTATGACGTATGTTTTCCAAGCGGTGGTGCATGGAATATGGAAAGAAAGATATCATGGAAAGTCACGGAGAATCCCCTGTAAGACTCATCGAAAACATTTGACAATATTATATACGAAATCTAATCTGAAGATATGAGGAGGGTTTACAACTTTGAAACATTCAGCTAAGAATATAAGTTGGTCTTATATTTAAACTAGATTAGGAGTTATCTCTAATTATTTTAATAGGATTCCCTAATAGATTCTACTAGCTCTCACGATTTCAAATATAAATTAAAATTCCGAGTATTAGTTTTTGTTTTTTAAACAAATTCCTTATTTCTTTTGAATTAGGATTTTGAACAAAGTTTAGATATATATCCCGGTTTATGGGCAAAGTATCATCATATACAAGTTTGCGAGAGAATTTATAGTCATCATTTGCTCCTGTTAAAAAGGCCTACGAAAGGAAAAGTTTTGGAGAGATATGGACGATCAGAACCACACAACAAGTTTTACGTTGGAGATAAATAACTTTCCCGGGAAGGAAACTGTGATATCACCAAACTTCTTAAGCGGCGGCTGCGAATGGTAAATATTTATTGTATATAGTATGTGTGTGTTTTGATTATGGACTCATCCGGTAGATTTCAATAAACAACTTCTTTTTTAGGGTTTAATTAAATCTTTTTCTTCTCAGGTACCTTAACGTACGTTTTCCCAAAAGAGATCGTATTAATGATCACATGTATATGTACCTCTACGTCGGAAATCCTGATTCACTGCGACTTGGATGGAAAATACGAGCTAGTTATTCCTTCCTTGTGTTGAATCAATCACTTGAAGAGCTCCACAGATGCGGTGGTGGGTGATGAACTTATCTTCCATGTAGATGATTTTTTTACTGATGAAGTAAAAATATTGAATCAAGCTTTCTGTTTTTTTTTTTTTTGTCTTACAGAAGTGTGCCGATTGTTCTGCGATCACTTACGAGGATGGGGTTGGTATGTGAATCTTGAAAAGATTCAAGAAATTGGGTTTTTGGAGAAGAATAAACTGATCATACAAGTCCAAGTAAAAGTAGTTGAAGTTGTTGAGGAAGGAGTTGTGACTGGGAATGAGATGACAGAGTTCAATGGTTTTCAAGTTCTTTATCCCAAGGTATGATTATAGGGATGCTTTTTGTTTGTTTGTATTTGATTCACACTTTTGTTGATCTCTTGTTAACATATTTGATAACAGATGGCTTCAGTGACTAAGCTTTTCCATGAGCACCCGGACCTTGCCAAGAACTTGAGAGAAAAGGACCAATTGGTGAAGGCAGCATACATGAACGACCTCCTCAGTCTCATTGAGACACTGAACAAGCCTCCATGTACCTTATCCGTGACTGGGCTAAGCAAATCTCTCAGGGAGTTGATGGTGCTACAAGAAGCGGGCTTCAAGCTAAACTGTTTAAAGAAAAAGCATGATGAGGTTTCCTTGTAGTGGAAGAAAGCAAATTTTGATGGTACTCAACACGCCAAGAATCTCAAAGCTGAAGAGAATAAGGAGAAGGTCAAGACTGCTACTTGTGCTGCTAGAGAAGACTGGCTCGAGGGTGTTGTTCGCTCTTGGAATGAGTGGAGAGTAAGAATGAGTTTTGTTGGTAAGGCAAAAATAAACTAAACAAAAAGATACATATTTATTACAGTTTCCGTTGGAAAGATCGAACCCAATATAGATGGCTGGCTCATGTGTAAGTTTCTAAATTTTACATTTTGATTATAGATGGCACACCCGCAGTAAAAAAACCAAACGATTCAAACACACAGATACGCATAGGCTATTCTTGCTTTTTCTTAAGTAGTGTTTAGACATTTTTAACTCGACATATAATAGATCCATCTATAGATGACAACACCTGCTTATTAATCTTGTATGAGGGAAATCATAGAACAGGCCTGATCCATCGTATGACTCCAATGATGATTCTAGCTTCCATAACCTCAGAAGTGCTTCAGGGTTGCATCCATCTTCCAATTTGAGATCAATATTAAGGATGTGCTTACATAATGCGCTTTGGTTTCTTAATGGACTAACATATTTGAAGTTTGGAACTATGGGCTTTGAGATATAAAGCCCTTAAGAACCTGAAGCATGAACTTGTCCAGCAGCCTGATAAATCAAGTGTCCCCACTTGGTTTTTCATCTCTGTATGGAAAGTGTTTCCTAAGTAAATCATTTGATTTTTCATTAGCTTGGTATTTTGTAAGGTTGATTTAAATTTTGGTTAGTTCGGTTATTTTGGTCTTGCTCATTTCAGTTATGCTCGGTTATGCAAAAAAGTTGAAATATGAACAACTTTTTATGATAAAAATATTGATTTGACTCTATCCAGACGTTTTAGTTGTAAAAAACATTGTTACGGTTCATTTTGGTTTGTTTTACGTGTCCATTTTTAAGGGACAAGTGTCCTTGACTCGTGGTGAAAGGTGAATCTAACGGTGGCATTGTCGCGCATGCATGTCCGCCACGGAGCATCGAAATGTTTGGGTCTCCTCTTCCTCCTAATTGTTCATTTCTCTTCTCGCTGTAGAGAGAGAGAGAGAGAGAGAGCAATGACCACAATGGAGATGATGGAGAGAGACGCGATGAAGACGGTGGCTCCTTACGCTCCGGTGACTTATCACCGCCGTGTTCGTGGTGACTTGGATGACAAACTTCCTAAACCTTGTACTTCTCCCATCTATACATGTTCAAAATACTCGCATTGATTCGTGATGCGTGTCTCGTACGGTTCATAACAAAATTTTGATGTGTTAGATTTGCCGAGAGCACTACAAGCACCAGACATGGAGCGCCCTCAAGGAACACCAGAGCATAGGCATAATGGCCTTAGTGTTCTTCAACAACATGTCGCTTTCTTTGATTTAGATAATGATGGCATCATTTATCCCTCCGAAACTTTCTCTGGTAAACACTTATATGCTTCAATTGAGCAAATCGAAATGGACCTCAATCAACTATATATGTAAAAGTTTTATAAATTTTTTTATAATACGTGTAAATAATCTGAAGCGTCATACTTTAAAGTTTGAACATATATAAGTTTATTACAAAACTATATGCATGCATGGTCTCTCTATAGTTATATAGATAATACGTATTGAATTCCACCAGGATTACGGTTACTCGGTTTCAATATACTTGCGTCGCTTATCTTGGCTACTGGTATCCACATAGCTCTTAGCTATGCTACTCTCCCGGTACGGTTTATATATAAATTTAACCGTACCAATCCGGTTATTATTCGTATGCTTATGATTGATGAAACAGGGGTGGTTACCATCTCCGTTCTTCCCTATATATATACACAACATCCACAGGGCAAAGCATGGAAGCGATTCTAAAACATACGACAATGAAGGAAGGTAACTTTACCGCATAACAGCAACTTACATTATATATTATATTTAAGAAAAACGCTATTACACCGGCTTGTATGTGATTGTGGAAGGTATACACCAGCGAATTTTGAGTTGATGTTTAGCAAATACGCGAGGACCGTGCCAGACAAGTTGAGTCTTGAAGAACTATGGGACATGACCCAAGGAAACCGCGATGCCTTTGACTTTTTCGGCTGGTTTAATTCTTACAATGATCAAATTAATGTGATTATTGTATTTCTAGTTTGAGCAAAAGTGATACATATAAGTATATAACTGGTGTGTAGGTTAGCGAGCAAGGGGGAATGGGGATTGTTGTATGTGTTAGCGAGTGATGAAGAAGGATTCTTATCAAAAGAAGCGATAAGAAGGTGTTTTGATGGGAGTTTGTTTGTTTACTGCGCCAGGAACTATACCGAGATCAATGACTACATGGCTTACTACTGATCATCACCATTGGATGATGATGATGAGCTTGGTAGTCGAAGTAACACGCTCATGTAGTAGCTCTTTGTAATACTAGTTATATATATTATGAAGCAAAAAGGTTGGTATATAGGGCGTATGTTTTGTATAGAGCTCTATATATATATATATATGTATTTTATATATGTTGGTAATGTTTGTGAAATTATGCATTTTTTTCTAACTCTTGATAGTGAATATGCATTGATAAAAGGGCTATAGTGATCGAGTTGTTTCATCTTTTTGTTTGTTGGTTATGATTTCAGTTGGTTCGGCTGATTTGGTTAAGAACCCGACATAGAATGAAACAAAGATTTGCCTTTTAATTTTTTTTTTTTTGACAAAGATGCTTAGGACAAAGACTTTACGTAACGCTTTTAGTTTATATGATCAAAACCCCATGATAAATAAGCAAAGAAATACAGAACAAAAGACAGCCCTAAGCAAAAAGAGTTAAAGACAACAACACGAACGATGTTTCTTTTAATTAGTAGTTTTTCTTTTTCTTCATTTTATTAAGTACTAAGTAAAAGATAGAGAAGCGACAATATGAAAGAACTGCAAATTCACCAAGACATCTTTGGCATGGATAGTGGCTCGGCGTTCAACTCGTGAGAACAGCTCGTTGCTTAGCTCTTCGCCGATGTGAGCTTCCACGAGAACTCCGGCCACACTCCGACAACTACTAGCAAAAGCACGACCGACTTCGGTTGCATCATCCGGCTCGCTCACCACAAGCGGGCTCCCTCCTTTGTAAACTACAAGCTTCTCAATGGCGAATGAGCCGTTCGCTTCAACTACTTCCTTGAAATCTTGCAGGCTTGGGGCGTACACCGGAATATTGAATCCATCGCGCTTCTCTGCCGCTACCAAACCCTAACAACAGCGATATATATTTAACATCTACGTCAATTCTCTCATTTTTAACGTTTCCGTGATTGAACCGAAAATCATTGATAATAAGCAAAAAAAAAAAAATGGTTTCTTTTTGTTAATACGTTTATAATATATAACGAAATTATTATTCAAACACATGAAACCGTAGAAAATGTTTTAAATATTTGAAAATAGAAGAACCAAAATTTCAAAAAGTGAAAAAATTAGTACACCAAAAGATTTGAATAATTATATGATAAGACACAAGGATTATATAATAAGTACAAATATCTTATGATAAATAATACTATATATTTGATACCACACTAACTTTTATATCTGACTAGAGGTTTATGACGAGTCAAAACATATGTAAGCTTTACTTTTTGGTAGTGACTATTTGACATAACGGACTATAATGATTATGTTAGAAAGCAACGTAACAATTCTTGTTGAATCTTTTTGTATGTCTTTATTATTATTATTATTACCGTCATCGTCGAATAATATGGCCTGCGGATTATGTGTCTACAAGATCATGATGTCGATATTTTTGGCAACGCATAAAACGTCTCAATGGATGGTTCAGATTCATCTGGGGTCGATGAGAGGACAATCAGACGGATAGGAATGATTGTTACATTTAAAACGAGTGGTGAGAGTGTGTACTAACGTGGTCTTAAAGCTACCACCATCATTTGCTTCTGTTTCGTATATTTTTGAATTAACAAAATAATTTCAATTTTGAAAAAATTCAAGAAACTAGTCAATACCATTTGACCCTATAGTACTAGGTTTGAAGAAACTTGTGAATAACATTTGATCATATATACAAAACTAATTTTACGGGTGAGAGTTTAAAATATATGGTCAAGGAGCTAGTAGACTATAGTTCATTGAAAAAAAAAGGCTAGAACAATTTTCAAATAGAATCTTAAATTGAGTCAAATGTATCTATCCTAGTGTTATAAATTAGTAATTTTCTCATTTCCAGCGTTTATTCATAAAAAAACCAAAAGGAATGGGTTAATAGTATGAATTTGGAACCCGAGGTTAATAATTGAGTGTTGTGTGAGATTAATTTAGTAGTTTAGGGAAAGCGTTAATTAACTAAGGTCGTACCTCGCGGACTAGGTCGTCCCAAGCATCTTGAAAATGAGTGCCGAAGAGTAGACCGGCACCACCCTGGTCGGTGGGGTCTATAGAGGTACGACCGAGACAAACGAGGAACATGGACCCACCTCTCTTAACCTCCGCCGCTCTTGCCCTCAAAAACTCCGCCAAGTCCGCCTGAAACTGCCGTTTGTACGCCGTCGCCATCTTCTCTCCCGCACCGTGTATAAACACTCTCCCTCTATTGTATGCCGCCGATCTCCTATCCGTCACGCTCTCCGGCACCTACCATATTCCACAATTTCTCGATATAATCAACTTTAAAAAAAAGATTATCTGGTTAATATTAATCCAAAAGTAAATAAAAATCACAAGCCAACAACTGGTATTTATGCTCTAAGCCTCTAATCAAGCGTAAGCTAAACGTCTGATTAACATCTAACCACATTTTAGACATTGATATAAATAATTAAAAGTTAGAACGTAAAGAAAATAGAACCGTTAATTAAAAGCTTAATTAAACAAAACGAACCGAACCATGCCACGTGTAAATAAAGTGAGTTATTGTTCGTTAGGTAGAGTGTGCATACCTGAGAGAGCCAATGCAAAGAAAAGGCAGAGTGGAAAAAGTCGATAGTTCTCGCCGGAAAAAGCCTCCGGTAAAACGATCCGGGAACACCAGCGACGAAGTAAGAGCGATTTCCGTCGGCAGCAAGGCACTCCTCCATGCAAGAGTTAGAGACAAGTGGTGGAAGAAGCTGAAAAAGAGTGTTAAAATCGTTGCTTGGGAGATCGGCGAAGAAAGCTGTGAACTCCGGCGGGTCGATTCCAGCCAAATCAAACCGCTTAGAGATGTGTTTGACTATGAAATCGATTATGTGTACGGTGTTTGCGCCGGAGGAGCAACCGAGATCTACCGCCGTGAACGGTGGAGGGCTGGCGGAGGAGTTTAGGTGTACATTGTCAAGTGTTTCTTCTAAGAGGTGGAGCATGGACCGTGCATGCATCGCCTGCGTATATTTTCATGAATTTAAGTTAATATTTTATAGGAATTTTACATAACAAAAAAACAAGAAGGATTTTTAGTTGATATTAAATAGAAATCTCTATTTTTCCCTTGTGATTTACTAAAATATACATTTCCATGCACGTCGACGCTGGCTCTATTTGTTTCAAAATTATACGCATTCTGTTTAAATACAAGAACTAGCCTAACATTTTACAATCCCATTTAACCAAATCAGAAAAAAAAATATCAATCTAAAAAGTGAACAGAAGAGGAAATACTTCAGCTAGTTGATGTCTGAAATGTTCCAAGAAACCGTAATACATAATTATTGTCGAGCTGTAATAAAAATAAATAATTAAAACTCTTCTATTCGGCAACTGATCAAAGTTGATATATTTTGCTAACCGAAAATCACATTTGGGGATTCTTAAAACGTTAAAGGAAAACATAGTCCATTTTTAAATTTCCAAACTTATTATTCGAGGTATAAGAAAATCGAATTATTAAGTTTGAGGAGACCTGAGCTTGAGAGTTATTTGCATAGCTGTCTTGTCCTTTGCCACCTTTCATGCTGAGAAGTCTCTCGAGCTTCATGTTACATACAGCAACGTTGTCTCCCTTAGAACCCATTCTCTTTCTCTCTCTCTCTCTCTCTCTCTCTCTCTCTCTCTCTCTCTCTCTCTCTCTCTCTCTCTAGATCTTTTTTTTCTCTCCTTTTCTCTCTCTTTATCCCTGCACTTTGATTTGTGATGAGACAAGCTCGCACAGACGACGCATATTTATAGAAAAAGAGGACAAAGAGATGAAATGATAAATGTATGAATTTAGTTGAATGGGGAAACATATAATTAAATGTGCTATCGCGCACATATTGTGTATATACTGATTATTCATGCAAAAACAACGCATCATTATGTTTGTTTCCCAAAATACAAAATAAAATTATGTGATGTACTTGTGTCACATGATATATGATATATACATGGTTTGTCATTTTGTGCACTGTAGGTTATTGTTTTTGTCAACCACATTTCTTGTAGGGCTAATTGGAGTAAAGAGTATAACAATATATGTACACACACGTATAATTGTATAAATATCTGATGTGATATTTCTTTTGTCAAGCATTTTTGCGGTTGTGATTTGAAATGAAAATATCTAAAATATGACATTTCTGATAAATATTATTGCAGTTATTATTTAGTTTTCTGTATAAAAAATAGCACTTGTTTGCCCATATCTACTACATAAGTTGATTTACTAATTATACTTTCTTTAGTTAAAAATAATATAGAAGATTTTTTTTTTAGAAAAAGTGGTCTTATCGTGGTAATATATCATTTCTGGAAAGAAGAGCTGTTTTTAATACCATCTTAGTATATGTTAGTTGTAGAGTTGTAGTAATTAATTTGTTTCTATTGATTGGTTAGTATATAGTCTGTTCTAAACTCTTTGTAAGTTGTGGAAACATTTTTAGCTTAATGGTTGACAAATGAATGATTCTTTTTTACACCATGCCCTGGATTTTAATCTTGAATGCGACACTCTCGTAGATTGTAAAAACAAAATTTTGAAATTTTTCAACGTGCTGTTTGTTGATTTGTAAATTAGATCTCAGCGGATAATTAGATCAGTGGGTGGTAGTTCATCGTACTGTAATATGTTTAAGATTTTAACTTTAATGAATACATATGATGATGATATAACAAATATGGTACAAACAATTTTTGTTGTTGTTGTTACAGTAGAAGATTAGTAAGAGAGGACTATAAGTTTAGGCTAATTAATGAGTCTTAAGAGTAAGAACTTATTGGCTGGCTTTAAATAGTCATGATGATAAAAATCAAAAGGAAAATGAATGTGTTTCCATATGATACCACCCGAGGGGACACTAGGAGTATTCAAGCTATGATATGATTTTAGTTAGATTCATGCATGTTTCAAACATTAATTCTTCATATCCATCGCTTTTCTATCGTATTATTCACACTCCACGTATTGGTCTTTACGATTGTCACCCAATCTCTATCAACTATATATATATGTGGTTAATTAGACGACGTCATTAACACATTCGTTCTTTTTATTGACATCAGATTTCTATAGGCTGAGACGGTCGAGTATATTCATAGGCATATACAATGCAGAAATAAATAATTAAACCGAACGAACGTAAGGTCACGTGATCCAAAATAATGTGTTTACACAAAGTATTATTGAACTTTTAATCCGGTTTTTTTTTTATATTGTGATTCTTACATACATTTTCAACTGAACACAAAATGGACACCTCAGCTGATTTTAATCTCCAATAATAGTTGATTTATTGCGTAATATTGTAAATAGATTATATTTATCGTTATGAGTAAACGTAAAAGTAGCATATATACGAATAAGAGTGGGTAAGGCACGAGATTGACGCCGAAAATTCATGGAATCCAATGGAACAGGGAGAGTGAAGCAATATAGCAAAAGAGAGTAGCTTCTTCATCATGTTGCCGGTTTGTTTTTAAGTCTCTATCCATTTCTCTACAAATTAATCATCCCTATCCTAAAACTAGATGTTATTGTTTTGTTCTTCTCCACCAACATAATTTTGTCATACCCATAAGTAATAATCAAAGATAGTAACAAATGGGCATGTAAAATGTTTTTTTTTTTTTAAAACATAATACAAGATCGATGCTCTACACTGAGGATCCGCCGTCTTTAATGTTGATGATCATGCATGTTTTTCATTCGGTTTTCAGCTTTCAATGGCTCATTATAAATAGTTTTAGAATTTTAATCTCATCTTTTTAAGTACGTACTAAGCTTATAATTAATTAAAGAATTTGGAAAGTGAGGCATTTCAGATGATTTCTCCATCCTTGTTGTCAAGTACTACTAATTTAGAGTAAAAGTCTATTTGCAGGAAAATGAAAAAAAAAAAATCATATCTTTACTTTACGTTCATTAATAATATTTGAAGGGTATTTAAGTCATTTAATTGAACTATGATTAATGGATCTTTTCGAAAATTGGGAAATGTCACTTGGTTAAGGCGATTTGTTTGTAGTCTTGTAGCACATATATGGATGGATAGCTATTGCATGATATTCATAGGTAGTATGATGTGGTTAGAGGAGTAAGAAAGAATAATTAGCAAAATGTGAAGAAAGGAGAAAAGATACAAGTGGGTCCAATATATCTTACATTAAGCCAACAACCAAATTTTCACTAGCATGCCACAAGAGTCGTGAAAGGAAAGTCCTACCGTTCTATACTTCTATTCGAATCTATGCATTTTTCTTTAGGTAATTCTGAGAAATACTACAAACATTTACTTGAAGTTACGTTTCCGAAATTACCATCAATTTTACTAAATATATAACAAACAAACTTAACGCTATGAGGGTTATTTACTAAACTTAAATTTACAATATTCTTCAAATGTAAGATTTGTTGAACATCTTTTTATTGAATCTTGTCATTCTTAATGTTTTGACCAAATCCACAGTCATTCGAAATTCATTTACTTTCGATGTTTCCTTTATGTATATCTCAAGATGGCTAATTATTTACGTAACAAGCTCATCTTTCTTTTTGTAGTACATATTATAACAATTAGGGTAATGAGAAGAGAGAAGAGATTATTGACATAATGATAGTATGTGACTTAATTAGAATTTGGATTTATCAATGACTACAAACTTTCAAGTAACGAGAGTGTCACAATTATACGAGTTGGTCACGAGTTTAATATTCCTACATGAATAATTTCCTTCACCGATATAAAATTAATTTTGTTACTGATAACTATCATAATTGTCTTTGTACCTCTAATCATTAATGGTATTAAAGATATACTACTTCATTTATGAACTCTTAACGAAAAGCTGTATATGTATTAAATCAAATTTTAACAAACAAGTTCTATTTAGGTATCTTTAATCAATATTTTAACAGAAATTGTAAGTTAACGGAGAGATGAATGAAAGTTGATGATTTTAAATTAATACTCATAATTAAACTGCTTTTTGTTTGTTTGTTGAAGCCCATAATGTTAAACTGCATGTAGATCAATCAATTAAAGTTAGTTAAATATATACTGAACCTCTACACGAGGCAACAGGCATGTAGAGTTAGATCAAGTACTCATGTATATGATGTAACGATATTTTACCGCTACTTATCGTTAATAGTATGATTTAATAATTCTCAGGTATAATCATGGTTTCTCGTGTATACCTAATTCTGCCACAACTACTAACTGAAATACTAATACTTTTAAATTTGTTAGTAATTTTTAACCATCGATAGCATAAATTTAGATTTAATCTAAACTGCATCCGAAAAAAACAGGTAATTTTAATTAGTTATATTTTATTTCTTACCCTTCTTTCTTTCGCCATAATTATTTTCTTATGTAACTTTAGACAAAGGTCAACTTCCGAAATTCAACTCTATCTTGTTTCTTTGGTTTTCCATTGTTTTTTTTTTCTTCTATAACTTTAGGAAAGAGTTGAACTAAGGATCTTCACATTTCATCTCTAACCATATAGAAAAAAAAAATACAAATAAATTAAAGAAAGCTAAACTCTGTACATGTTATATAACTGCAATTGGGGTTCATATATATATGAAATTTAGTATGTCCCTAAAGTGGAAAGCAAATTGGATTAATAACCAGAAGACCAGGAAGTCTGTTTTCTTAATAGTTTTCGAGTCTTTTCACATATATTACCGTGATCCTCGCTATTTCACGTAACACAAGGCCCCAATATGTGCTCTTGAATTACTTTAATCTTTAAATTTCACATACATAGATATGTCGTTTATCTTCCAATTTTATTTTAACCCAAGAACCGATCGAGCCTATGCAGTTTAGTAACTTCGAGGCCTCGAGCTATATATTTATTAGTTTGCCTGTTATTATTTTTTCTTCTTCTTTGAGTTTTCTTCTTTTATTAGAAAATCAATCATATATGAATATTTAGTAGCATAAAGAGTCATATCGTAATTCGTAACATATCTACATAGTTCAACATTTCAAATATACTGTATTTTTTTAGTATGTATGTACAACTCTTCTAGACCGAAAACTACGACATATTTATGTAGCAAAGCTATCCACATTCAAAAAGTCCAAAAATTAATTTTAAATGGTTTCAAAAACTTTAAGTACTCTATTTGAAATCAAGGTTTGATGATTAGTAACGAAAATAATAATGTTTAAAATGTTAAATTAAAGAGAATCAATCTATGTGGGCTAGCTTGTTAATTATTATTGAGCAATTTATTGAACTATTTGTCAAGGAATCTCGCTTATCAGAAGAAAACAAAACGATATTAACGGTTAGTTAGGAGGAGATGAGCTTAGATTTACCAAACGACATTAAATTCAATTAGTTTTTTTTTGCACTATAAATAAAGAGATAAATTTCATACTAGTATTGTTTTTCTTTTCTCCCGTGAGGCCCGAGGCTTACTATAACATCATCACAAGTCTTGTTATAACTTTTAAGATTTCGATAGCAGCTTCTACTGTTAGGGGACTTAGCGTTTGGTTCACAATTTGTTATAATTTTCAGTGAAGAGTAAACCATATGGTTCAACTGTTTTATTAATACTCCTTCTATTTTAAAATAAATGTCATTTTAACACTTTTCACATAAATTGAAAAAAATATTAAAAGTTCTGTTTTAACTTTTGTTCACACACAAAATAACATTCTCTTTTTAATTAATATATTAATATAACAAGGTTAAAACATGATTTTTGTTTAGAATATTGCATTGGAAAAAAAACAATATTCTTTGTAAAACAAAAATAAAACTTTAAAATGATAACTATTTTAAAATGGAGAGAGTATTGAGATTTTTGTGAAGGTTGTAAACGTTGTTTTGTTTAATTAATTCACAATTTAACACACAAAAATATGTTTCTTACCCGAAGACATTGACCACATATTTTGTTTGGCTTATCTTCTTGCGCATTACGGTTTTTTAATTTATTTAAGATTTACTCTTCACTGAAAATTAAATGCTCACCAAACTTTAAGAAAACCGGGGTTTCCAAAGTTTTTTTCTAGCAATTTAAAAAGGAACTCTTTCTAGGTCAAAAAAGCAGAGAGTCTTTTCTTCGATTCTCAACATTCTTCTCTTTACACTTTTACTTTATTTCCTCTGACTTTGACCTATATATTTTCTTCACCAAAGATAATCAATTTACTACCATTATTCAGTATTATTAAAAAAAGTTAAACACTATTCTGTTATAAATGTCATTCTTGATTTAGTTTTTCTGTTCTTTTAAACACTGTTTAGTATCTCTAAATTTAAACACTTCTCTAAATTTGATAGTTGTTGATTATAGTTTTCTTTATAGCTTTTATACATGCAAATACACAAAAAATTCATAAAAACTAGCATCGTACTCGTCACACATTGTACTCATTACTTTAATTTAACATAACCTCAGCTATCTACGTCGTTTCGGATTGCACTTTACTTAACTTTTTAATATATTTGTTTGCCAACCGAATTAACTTATCCAATCCACTAATATAATAGCTTCTTCTTTTCTTGCCGCACAAGCTTCAAATCTATCTTAAGTGAAGTTGTCAAAGTATCTGTCCACGCATTTCTTGGCACGTGTGGATATTTCTGGAGGTTGAGTCTAATTTTGAGCCTAGAACTTTGTTATATGTGGGCCAATAGTCCATTTTAAAATAATTTGGCCCAAAATAAGTAATTGGGCTGATAATGTAATCTGAAAATATTTACGGCGAATTTGGAGTTTCATCAAAAGTGAAGGGCCAGAATAAAAAAAAAACAATAAAACAGAGCGGATGAGAGAGAGAGAGAGCAAAAGAAAGAAAGAAAGAGAGTTGGGGAAAACACCCCTTCGGAGAGGAGCAAAGCCTCTCCTGGGGAAGAACACGTTCTTCTTTTGTTCTTATTTTTTCAATCCAGATTTTGATGAGGAATTCATGAATTTGGACTGATTATCGAAATTCGGGGTTTTTGTTGAGTGATCTGTGAAGAAGGAGTCAGAGGAAGAAGAGAAAAGGGACAGAGAAAATGTCAGACCTAGACCAGCAGATAGAGCAGCTTAAACGCTGCGAAACTTTGAAGGAATCGGAAGTGAAGGCTCTTTGCCTCAAAGCTATCGAAATTCTCGTTGAGGAGAGCAATGTTCAAAGAGTCGATGCTCCAGTCACTGTAAGTACTTATTTTTCTCGATCCAAGCTTCGAAATTCATCTCCTACTTATGTTTGAAGATTGAATTCTAGAGAGAACAATAGGGAATTTCGAAGCTTATGAGTTGACAAGTCTGAACGAAAATTGAAATTGGGTTCTGAAAATTTTGGGCATAATGCGACTCAGAACAGCTGTAATTAGTTCGTATTCGGAATTAGAAATGTTATGGATAAATTAAGGGTTTATGCAGGGCTTAGTAGATATAAGGTTTTGTAAGAATGCTGATTCCGATGTTTTAGGGATGCGAATTTATTTTGTTCTTTTGTTTCTGTTTTCTCTTGGAACAGATATGTGGTGACATCCATGGACAGTTCTACGACATGAAAGAGCTTTTCAAAGTCGGGGGTGATTGCCCCAAGACGAATTATTTATTTCTTGGAGACTTTGTTGATCGAGGCTTTTATTCAGTTGAGACATTCCTACTTCTTCTAGCTCTCAAGGTAATAATTATCCCAACAGTGGGTTGCTCCAAATGTCCGAATCATTTAGATAGCAAATGGGTTTTATACAATCCCTCAAGTTGTGTTACTTTTTTATATTACTCAGGTTAGATATCCAGACCGTATAACTCTCATTAGAGGGAACCATGAGAGCCGGCAAATTACTCAGGTGAGTTCAGTCTTTATAGAAAACTTTGATGTGTGTGTGTGTGTATTTATTCAGACTATATAATAGAGTCTGCTTTTAGTAGGTATATGGATTTTATGACGAGTGTCTGCGTAAATATGGCTCTGTAAATGTCTGGAGATACTGCACAGATATCTTTGACTACTTGAGGTACACATCCCTGTATGCTTTTGGTTTTTGGAGCTCACTGTTTATAACGTTTCGATTCATTATAACGAAGACTTTCTATCTTTTATAATGTTGAAGTCTTTCAGCTCTTGTCGAGAACAAGATATTTTGTGTTCATGGAGGTCTCTCCCCAGCTATTATGACTCTAGACCAGGTTGAGAAAGTGCTGATATATATAATCAGAATGTTTTTAAGCTATAAGGATGTAACTGACTTGCTTAGTTTCATACATTTCTTTCGGCAGATCAGGACGATTGACCGGAAGCAAGAAGTGCCACATGATGGTGCAATGTGTGATCTTCTATGGTCTGATCCAGAAGATATCGTGGATGGTTGGGGATTGAGTCCTCGTGGTGCTGGATTTCTTTTTGGCGGCAGCGTTGTAACTTCTTTTAACCATTCAAACAACATTGATTACATATGCCGAGCTCACCAGCTAGTTATGGAAGGTTACAAATGGATGTTCAATAGCCAGATAGTCACTGTTTGGTCTGCCCCAAATTACTGTTATAGGTAATTTATTAGATATACTCATAACCTTTCATCGTGTGATCTTTGGTTTCCTTTGGCTTTGAGTGTTCATGTTACTTCTGTTTGCAATGTGATCCAGATGCGGTAATGTAGCCGCAATTCTAGAGCTCGATGAGAATCTAAATAAGGAGTTTCGAGTCTTCGATGCTGCCCAACAAGTAAGAACCTCACCTATGTAAACTTTATGTCCCTATCTCCGGCTTGATTTGTCTGACCTAATATGACTATGGTTGCAGGAATCTAGAGGAGCTCTAGCCAAGAGACCTGCACCTGATTATTTCCTATGAGACTCAAAATGGTGGGAAAGGAAACTGGAACTCTTTCTTCTCATTGCAGAGCAAGAAAAGTTCCCAAATTCATCATTGTTTAAGATTGTAAAAATACAGAAGAATCTACAAACCATGTGTTATCAAAGAGATCTCTCTACACATTCCTTTTAAAGGGTCCGTTTGAAAGTATCCTGTAATTTGAAAAGCTTTCTGTTTCTTTTTCTCCTTTGTGTGTACTGCTACTTTTACGAAAAGAATATAGAAAAAAAGTTTGTGAAAGAAGAGACTCGATGGATCTTTCAGAGGATCCTATTTACCATTTCTGCAAATGTTCTAAAACATATATCTATGGTCTGTGCGTCAGTCCGGTTTACCAAATGGCTTTTCGGGTTCGCATATTATGAGATTGCAATGTTAGTTGTTATGTAGAGACAATTTGGAGAAATCTCAAAAAGTAATTTGATATTTGAGCCTGAAGATCGTTACATTTTTGATGAAGTAACATGCTTAAAGAAAACGAAAAGATCCTAGAAGAAAAGCCTACGGGGAGAAGATGATTTGGTGGAGATAGTAGCAGGAGACTGCTTCTGGTGGGGCAGAGACATTCCTTTGTTCTCTTGTTGACCTGATGATCCCATTTTGTCGACGAGCTTAGCTGCTCTTGGATCAGTCAGGAGTGTCTTCTGGAACGACTGTGAGAAGCCCGTGGCGATGATCGTCACATGAATCTCTCCGGTGTATCGATCATCCACAACAGCTCCAAATATGATGTTGGCCGATGGATCTGCCAAACTTGTCACCACCTGCAAAAATCAAACCCCCAAAACACATGACAAAACTGCATTATATTGACGCAAAGCCGGGTCAAAAGAAAACCGAACCTGAGATACTCGGTTCACTTCCTGCAAAGTAATGTCTTTTCCACCGGTGATGTTGTAGACGACACCAGTGGCTGATTGTATCGATGATCCAATCAATGGAGCCAAAGTGGCTTGTTCAGCTGCTTCTTCTGCTCTGTTCTTGCTGGAAGATACACCTACACCGAGCATTGCAGTGCCAGAATCTTTCATAACCGCCTTCACATCCGCAAAATCTACATTGACCAGTCCAGGTATCTGAAAAAAGAAACAATTCAATACTGTCTCCTCAGGATCTTTCTTTGGGGATCAACCAACTTGTTAAGCTTTACAAAAATACAAAAAAGACTCACAGTAATAATATCTGAGATTCCTTGTACTCCTTGGCGTAAAACATCATCCGCAAGAAGAAACGCGTCCTGAAGTGGCGTCTGTTCATCAGCAATATCCAGCAGACGATCATTTGGAATTACGATAAGGGTATCCACGTTCTTCTGCAGCTTCTCAATCGCTTCCAGTGCCTATAGAGAATATCAAACAACATTTGAGGCATGGATCCATAACAAGGCTTCTCAACACTTACACCCAATTCAAACAAGAAACGGTGCCAAACACACAGTACCTGCAAAGATCTTTTACGCCCTTCGAAGCTAAACGGATAGGTGACAACACCAACAGTCAAATAACCAGCATCCTTCGATATCTGAGCCACCACAGGAGCAGCACCGGAGCCTGTGCCACCACCCATACCAGCAGTTATGAAAACAAGGTCTGATCCTTTAAGAGCATTAGCAATCGCATCTTTTGATTCTTCTGCAGCTTGTTCTCCTAGAAGCGGGTTTCCACCAGTACCTGTTAAAGCTCAAGTGACCAAAGACGCGACTTTATTATTAGCTCTCTCTCTCTCTCACACAGCATCTTTACAAATAAGGATAAGGTTTTCTTCTCTGTTGAGGAGACGAACCAAGGCCACGAGTAAGAAGCTCTCCGATTTGAAGTGGGTTCTCTGCAGAAGACTGCAACAGAGCTTGAGAGTCCGTGTTTATCGCATAGAAATCAACACTCTGGAAAACAGGAGAAACCAATCAAATTACTCAACTAAAACTACTCCAAAAATGGGAATCTCCATATCAAATCGGAGCAAAACTATGAAATTCATAGTTTCCTTTATTCGAAGATGGAGAAAATGCGACCTGCAAACCGCTGGAAATCATCCGATTGACGGCATTGTTACCACCACCGCCGACACCAACCACCTTAATCTTCGCAGACTCCATCGGAGAGAAGGAGCATCTCAGCCTCATCGGCTTCGACCGTGAGTCGCCTCTTCGCTTTGAGAAGCCGACACCGAGTTTACTGATTCTGGCATTTGCGCAGACGCAGCTACTATGCAACGAATGGGATACCGATTTCGCGAGGAACGAAGAAGACGAGGAAGAAATCGTTAGCTCATTTAGCTGCGCCAACGGAATAATCGCCATTGTTTTGTGATTTTACTTCCTCTGGGTTTCAGAGAAGAAAGAGAGATAAAACAAAATGGGTTTTTTTTTAGGGTTTTAGCGTCGACGAAGAAAAATATCAACAGTTCCCACAGTGTTGGTTCTCTCATTTCTCTCACAAAGGAAAGCTAAAGAGATCGAGTGGGGACCCTTTTCGTTTCTCTTGCTCACTCACACAAAGTCTCGTAAACGACAGCGTTTCAGATGAAAACTTGCAATTAGCTTCATAATAATTAGAATACACAAGATTATTATTTCATTAAGAATACAAGTCTGGGAGTTTCTTGAGTATATCTCAGATGTTTTGGGAATAGAATGAGAGAAGTGAATACAAGAAAAATTCAATAATACAGAGGTCAAAAGATTTTGGATTTGTTCACGACCAAGATAAGAATTACAAACAAGAAAAACCGTTTAAAGACTGAATGATACAAAAGGATCGAACAGAAGCGGGCAACTCGGTTTTAACTCACTTTGCGCATAACTTTCTCTAGTTTGAAGATTCTTTGTCCTCTTACTCTGTTTCGCTTAGGATTGGGACAATCAGAGGATTCATCTGTGCAATATATACAATTGCCCACCTACCACCATATCCAAGAGATTGAAAGTAAGAAAATGTGACCAAGAAAGCAACAGAGAATCAAACTCGATATTCAGAAATGGTAAAAAAAACCAATGTTCATGAGTTCAGTTATTATATGTTAGTTTCCGACGCCGATTACTTTGTTTCATTTATTGGTAAGCAAATAGGACTTGACCTCTCTTGATGGTTTATGGATTGAGGAGAGGAAACAACAAGAGGTTTCAAACATAAACTTACATCATCCAACAGCAGACCGTCGCAGTAATGACCAAGGTAAGATGTAGCCTGAACCAGAAAAAACAAAGATTAGATATTTACAACATGGTTACAGAATCCTTAGTCATGGTAACGAAATAAGAACGACAGATCAAATAACAAAGCTTAAAGCTTGATGGAAAACAAAGAACAACAGTAAAGCCACTTGCAAGGAGATTCTGAAATTCTCAGGGCACAAGAATGCAACTGTGACACTACTTTCTCTTCATTACTCGTGTTTGTTGCAGATACTATCAGAGCAAGGATCCAATTCAAATAAATTGCAGATTGTTCAAAAGTCAATGAATCATCATATTTCATTTTCTAATTCACAGGAGTAGGAAACTATTGATTCCAGCTATTCGATCTTCACTAGAGAGATTCACACGACATCAAATTCTAGGAAACTAATCTAATTTGACCAATGCAGCAATCAAGCTAACCATAAACCCACGGAAAATTATTACCAAACATTGAGAAATCAAATCAAAAATCTCAAATGCAAATCAAAAGAAATGAAGGGGGCAGCAAAGGGAGAAACATACAGATTCGTGGAGGGACCTCTATTGCAGCAGATTCTAGCGCATAAGGAAGCAATGATCCCAACGACGACAAAGATTAGGGTTGTTACAAGGAAACCCATGTTTGGTCCTGATCTGACAGAGATTTCCTGCGACGAGAACTACACGTGATTTAGGGTACAATGACCTCAACTTGATCTCAATCCAATCGAAAACAGAAAAATCTTTGGGCGGCGAGGAAAAACACGCGATAAGAGAAAGTATTTGAATATCTTCTCACAGATTGAAATAAAAGCTCCTCTTCGAGGAGAACGATGGTGTGTTGCGAATCCGGTGATCTGAATTTGGATCCGTGCGAGTTTCAGATTTTCTGAGGGCAAAATAGGTCCAAGTCCAAGTCCAATACAGTAATAAATTATTTAATAATATATTACTCCTTTTTTCTCTTATTTGGCTTCATTCACATTTTTAAACTTCAAAATAAGCTTCTAATTTTACATAATTAACTAATTACATGTAAGAAAATATTCTATAAGCCAGTTTCTTTTCTTTTGCTGCAAAAACGAAAGTTATGTAGTTGTTATTTTCTTCTAATTTTCTATTTCTTTAATAATAAAGAGGTAACAACATTCAACATTCAAGGCATGGTAAACCAGTACCACCAATAAGTTATACATAACTAAAAACAACAGCAGCTTGAATTGTTTTTACCCACCGAGGTAAAAATTCTAAACAAAGGAGTGAGATGAATAAATAAGGCCGGTTTTCTCTTTGCTCTTATCTTATTTTCAGCTCCTTTGCTTCTCCAATGACTTCAGAACCATATACTTGCTCTAATCTGAGAAAGCTTTCTCTATACCTATCCGGATAAACTAGAATCTGAAGTCGGGTCCTGCGTCCATAGCCCAGGCGAATTTCGCCAGAAGAGTCTTTGTGAATATCTAGAACACGAAACAACTTGTCATTTTGTAAAGGACAAAAAACTTTGTTTATTTTGTTCAGAAGATATAAACATCTCGAGAGTTTGGTTGTACCTTCTCAATTGGAACTTCATGACGTTTGCACCACGCGACAGTGATCCGAGGATCCATGTAATTGATCTTGGACGTGCCCAGCGCCACGGTTTTCAAGTCCTCTTTTGTGTGTTTGTCTAGTTCCATCTTCTTGATCTTGAGGTTCTGTTGAGCAATCTTCTTCTCCCACCTGCAATAACACATCCACAGAACAGTTAATGTTAAAAGAAGAGATAGAGATATCAAGAAAAAGTCTTTACATAAATAAGAGGGAATGTTTATCTTACGCGTTTGGATCTAAGCTTCTAATCTTCTTTCCATCGGAACCTTCCAATGGTGGTTTTCCTTCTTTAGCCCGCTTGAGATTAGTTTCAAGCTCTTTAAGACCCTCCTGCGAAAACCAAACAGAATGCAATTAGTTCCGGAAGAAACGCAAAGAACTCTTTGAAAAGTTCGCAAGAGGTTATATGGGATATTTTTACCTTGAGTTCATCTATCTTCCCAGCCAATTTTTCGATTTGTGCTCCATGCGACTTAGATACAGCACGCTGATGATTACATATTATAGCAACCTGAAAGAGAGTGAACCAATGTTTTTATGTATCTGACACATGAGTTTTGCACTAAACTATAAATCGTCATGAGAAAGAGCAATCTTTTACCTTTTTATTTGCTTGTTGATAAACTACTATCTTATGATTAACATCGCCATCTCCGTTGTCATCAGTCAACTGTCACACACAGCAATAAGGAAACACAGTTGTGGAAAATGTAAAATAAGACGATGAAGAAATATGAGTCCTTGTAACTGGGGTACCTATGATTACTTGTGTAGAAAACATAATTCTAATGTAAACAAAATACACAAAAGATTAAAGAGTTTGAACGTACCATTTGATTCAAAGTGAAGGAAGCATTATACGTACGGAACACTTTCGCTGTGAGACCGGGTACAAGCTCTTTAAGATGAGCATTCAGTTTATTTGTGTCTAATTCATCAAAAAGATCGTCCGTTTTGGATTTTCCTGGAAGGAGCGTAAAAGAAGAAAAGACATTAAGTTGGTTCAGTCATAAAAAGCTACAACATACAAAAAGAAAATAATGCCAAGTCCATATCTCACCAGCCTGGAACTGTCCAATGGCCTTGTAAACAGGAGGCTCAACCACAACTGTGTTCTCATACCGGATAGAATCTTTACCGAGGAAGTCAAACTGAATACATATGAAGAAAGAGGGAAACGTGTGAGATAATTAGTTCTTTGCTCAGGATTAAACATATGTTATTCACTTTCATTAGTGTATTCTCGTTGTATGAAACCAGCATAAAGCATACAGGATCAATTTAATACCTTTATTTGATTTGGAGGAATACATTCCACATTTCCAACCTTTAATGTACAGCAACCAACAGTGTCGGCCTCATCATCATCCTACCAATCAAGAAAGAAAATATGAGATTTCTCTACAAAAACTTTCTACTTACGCACCAATTATTTGTTAGAAGCTGTTCGCTTTTATATCTTCTTTTCAAACTAGCAAAATACTAGTTCAAGTTTTACCTTCTCATTTCCAGCCCTAAGCGCCAATTTATCAATGAGATAGGTAGCCACAGCAATTTGCTTCTTTGTAACATCCTTGGAGGTAAAATTCTTGGTGTAAGTTTCTCTTATACTCTTTATGTGGTGCTGCAGTCAAAAGAAAAACTATTAGTAAAAAGGATAAACAGTGATAGAGTAAGCACAAGTTTCATCAAAATGAAAGCTGACTACCGTAAGATTCCTGGCTTTCTCATACTTCTCCTTGTCGCTCAGCCCTTTCAAGGCACTGCTAGCTGCCAAAAATACATACTTGAATTCTCTCGGGTTAATAGGATCATTCCAGAAAGCTAGCCAGGTGACTGTGTTATCATGCTTTACTTCTTTCCAGCTGCAAAGTCACATCTCTCATTGCTTAGTAAGATCATTGTATAATTGTTTTTTCTATTTGGGAGGACAACCATGGAAAGAACAAAACCTTTCACCAGGGATCGGACACTCTGGAATAGGAGCACTTTTGCCGATATTTATGGTGATGTCACATGGACGGATACGCTTCTTTAATTTTCCCATCTGAAAAAATAAACAGACATTAGCTAGGTTTTGAAAGAGAAAACAGAATAGACCATGCCTTAACCGAAGCCACCCAAACCCACAACGTCAAGGTATGTTGTTTACAAAAATAAGTATCTAAGAAACAGAAATAACCTTGGGATGTTCTCCACGGCCTCTGAAGAGCCCCGGCGGTTCTACTCTGAAATTACCGACCTGAATGATAAACAGATATCTGAGTGAGCAACTCTGATTTGAGAACAATGTCAACTCTATGTGAAAAATTACCTTTTCTTTGACACCGTCAACAACAGCCCACATATATTTCTCCTCTTGCTTCAGTTTCTCCTCTTTCAATGCTTTTTTCTCCTGTAAAAGGTCAAAAGTAATTAACATAAGAAACCCACGTCTGGAACACCAATGCAATACGAATGTGGATTAAAGATGGAGCTATTTATGAGAGAGCCAAGGAAGACAAAGGCAACAAACAAAATTCTCTTTTTGGTCACCTCTGTGCTCATTTGTTTCTTCTTCTCTTTCTCTACCAAATGCCAATCATATATGGGACTAAAGTCGCAATCCTCCAACTTCTGTATCACATGTTTTTTCCCGAGCAGTGCTCGCCAGTCATTCCAGAAATTCTCCCTAAATTGAGGCTTAGTATAATAGTCCGTTTCTTTCATCACTGCAAACATTGTCGCAACCTGTATCATCAACATATCATCAGCATGGATATAATAAGCCTTTGTTGAAATGGCATAAGAAATGCACTCTAGATATTGAGATGAACAAAACATGTGTATAATAAGTAAGATTGAGGGTATAGATAGAAAAGATGACCTCTTCTTGTTCAGTAGTTAGGTCAACTGGCTTTCCCTTGTACAGAATCTTAATGCCATGAGGTTGGTATGGAGGTGGAAAGATTACACCGCTGTGCACCAAGGTAGTCCATTTCTTTTGCCCATCACCAGAGGGTAAAGATTTTGAAGACGTGGAATATTTTGAATCCTTCATTACTTTCTTGGAGTTTTTGTTCATTTTCCTGGACGTATGAGAAACTACTTTTGTTACTTTTGGCTTTGCAGCTGATGAACTAGGAATTACTTTCACTGCTTTAGGCTTTGCAGATGATATTTTACTGTTGGAGGATTCCGATTTGCGTCTCTTGGCTAGTGGAACATCATCATCATCAGTATCTTCTTCTCTGGTAGATAATTGTCTAGCCTTCGTTGACTTAGGTGTAACCAAAGCCTTTCCCTTATCACCTGAACTCTCTGTTTTAACAGAATCTTGCTTCATTTTCACTGAAGTAGTTGAAGCTGAGACATTGTGCTTCTTCAAGGAAGACTCACCTGCAGAGCTATTCTTCTCCAGAGGTCTCTTACCTGATACCTTAGAACTCGTCACTTCATTCTTAACTATGGAACCATTCAGATGCAACTTTCTAATCAAAGGTTTCTTTTCATCATTAGAGACCTGTTTGCTGCTACCTGACATCCCACTACCAATCTTCTTTCGAAGCATTGACGCAATTGGAGTTTCATCATCTGACTCATCTTTTATGATTCTCTTTGCTCTATCAAGAGATCGATCGCCACTATTCTTTTTATCTGGCTGCGGCGAAGAGACCTTCAGCGAAGAGTTTGGCGCTTTATTTGGCCGACTTGAATTCGCAGACATTATGAAACTTAAAGGCCTATTATCCTCAGAATCCTCAAGCTCTCTTTTACATTCAGACTGATCTTTATGTGACTGGCTCCTATTCTTAACAGCAGAGGGCGTATCGTTCCGCAATGGTGACTTCGCTGGTGAAGCCTTAGAAGAAGATGATGGCACTGAGGATTTCACAGAAGAAGATCTATTCGACGGAGTGGTTCCATTTGCGCTAGTCACAGGGGATCTCATAGGTGAAACCTTGGTGGAAGGAACTGCATTGCTTCTCTGAGGATTGGATTTTGATTGATTCGAGTTAGAAGCAACAGTACTTCTCCTCTTGAATACTATAGGCCCGTCCTCCTCGTCGTCTTCGCACCCATTCTCCACCACAGGTTTTGAAACAGTCTCGGTGGCCATACCTCAGACCAACGCCTAGCCAAAGAGGCGAACCAAAGACAAAATGTCAGAGCTAGGCAAAAGAAAAGCAGACAAACACCATTAAGACTACGAGTATCAAAATGGTTTCACTACAGAGAATGAGTGATTTGACGTATACTGTGTATTTATATATTCACGCATTGCAAATTATTTAACTAACGCGCATGTTTCTCCATGTAAGTAAGACCCACCACAGATTACGACTTAAAAGAGATTACATCGATAAGATGAACACATAATGGAATAACAAGACAAATTGAAGAATAATACCAAATCCCCAATTCCATACACGAAACCCTAATTTGTGCTATAACTGGGAACTGATGAAAAATTGAGCTGAATCGAATCCAATTTCAGAGGGGAAAACGCTGGACTGAAGAGGCTACCTTCTTCCAGAGATTGAAGGATATTGTAGAGCGAAGCCAATCTCCTCCGTTTCTCTGTCCTCTCTTGTGCTACGGTGGTTTCTCTAGTTCCAGACGCCGAAAAGACTAAGGCATGAGGAGACTCTCCATAGACTAGAGAGTTCTGCCGCTTGAGGGTTTTCTTTTTCTGACGACGTCGTATTGAGTCGCGCCAAAACTTTTGTTTTACCGCTTCCCGGTTCCGGCAGTTTTTACATTTCCAAAATCCAAGTATACAAGTTTTTAAGACGTAAGATATTTGGATTAATCATCAGTTAAGTAAACAACTTTGGCGCTAAAGTCACATATTGCATTTTTTTTTATTAAATATAATATGTTGTTATATAAAATAATGTGTCAACGAGCAGACTGGATATGACTAATAAATAAAATTTTATTAGATAAAATAACATGTTATTATCTAATAACATTTTATTTAACCATTTGAAGTTAAACGTGAAATTGGAATGGATAAAGTTAGATAAATCTTTATATTTGAAAATTTATACAAAACATTTGTTATATATATAACCCTTCCTGGATTTTGATAGGTTTGTGAAATAATCAAGAGTTTAGAAAGTTATAAAACTTATAAATCTTTGACCCCCAAAATTACCATTCTGGAACTTTCAAGAGTTTTAAATTTGTTACAGTTGGGTGTAAACATGTTCTAGCCACTAAACGAAACATTCCCCACAAACAAATTATATATCATGGTGGTCCAAACAAAAATTTAAATGAAAACGTAATTTATTATTATACTATCTAATATATATTAAACAGTAAGCATTAGTGGTTTATGTATCATTATTTAAGAATTTTTAATTTTTAAAATCTTAATAATAATTAAAAATTTAAATAATTTATTTATGCAATCAAACACAATCTGTCTCACAACCAAACAAAAATTTCTCTAATTATTTATTTATTAATTATATTTAATATTTTAAAACCTGTAATTAATGTTTAGATTTTTTGTATATAATTTAAACAATTTGATTTAAATAAATATGACAGAAAATTTTAGTGAATTTTTGTTTTTGTAAAATATCTAATATATATTAAATATGAAACATTAACTTATGTCTCATTATCTTATTTTATAATATTTTTTATTGATTTATTTTCGTGTACTATCTTTATTACCAAACACTTTATTTTAAATTACTTAAATTAAATCAAATTTAAATCGAACCAATCACAAATAATTTGATAATTTTATTGGTTTAGTAAATTAAATTAGTTACCTTTTTTATTTATGGAAATAAAAATTATTTCCGTTTAGATCTATGAATATTTATTGTTTTGCAACAACTATAATTCACATATTATACAAACAGAAAAAGAATATTATTTTTCATAACCTCGGACGAAAGTAAATGTAAATTTCGCTTTGTATAAGTTTAAATTAAAAACGAAAAATAACTAAATTTTCTCAAATCTCGACTGAACATTTTTAGATACCCAAATATTTTTAAAAACTTAATAAATTATAGAAAATCTCTCTTAAATATTTTTACAAATAATACCCCGCACAAACGTGCAGGTAGTAACCTAATTACTTTTATATTTGATCCACTAATCTTCTTATATGTATGTTCTTTGATTTTTTTCCTGATACTAAAGATCTTCCAATCTGCATTAAATTGTTTCTGTTTATTATATTCCAGAAATATTAAATTTAAATTCATTAGATGGATTTTATCCACTCAAACAATAGAAAAATCGATACTAATATTATTCTGCTAATAATTTAAATAATTACATAATTGTTTTTGTATATTCCAAAATATTAAATTCAAATTCATTAGATGGATTTTATCCATTCAAACAATTAAAAAATCAATATTAAGATTATTATGCTCATAAAAATAATATATATACAAAAAGTTGATTTTACAAACTGGTTTAGGTTTGATAAAATATCAAACGTAGCAATATGACATGTGAATAATTTATTTTAACAGTAATAATTAGAGTACAAACCACTCTCGAAATGTGAGAATAAAAAAAATACTTTAAGGTAATTATAACTTGAATGTTTGTATTTCAAATGTGTTTATTGTAGTTTGAACGATATTTGCAATGTTTTGTTTGATAATTCCAATTAATTATGTTTTGCTAAGGAAATATATATATATATGTGTCATAAATTGGTATATATTATAAATTAAAATTATTTAACCAATAAAAAATAAATTAAAGTTATTTTGTACACACGTAATTTTGTTCTGTATTAATGATATTTTATTGAGTAAAAAAATTGTAACTGTTTTTCTATAAAACATGCCACAGATTTGTCTTTGGTTTACTATTAAGAGAGAAGAAACCTCTTTTACAAGTCTTCTTGGTTTCTTTCTTCTACTCTGTTTTAACTCTCTCTATATCTTCTCTGTAAATGTTGTATGGTGAATGGTTAGATGAAATTGGCCACACAACGAACGCTTAATCAGAATCTGAACTCAGGATCAACGTCCATTGCCCAAGCAAACTTAGCCAAAAGAGACTTATTAAATATCTGCAATAGAAAGAAGAAGAAAAAACAAGACAAAGGTAAATTTCTAAGTGTATGCAAATCTGTGAGACCTTCTTGAAGCTTTATTGAACATACCTTCTCGATGGGAACATCGTGTCGTTTGCACCACGCAACACTGATCCTAGGATCCATGTAATTGATCTTAGAGGTGCCTAACGCTACTGTTTTCATATCCTCCTTCGTTTGCATGTCTCTTTCCATCTTCTCGATCTTACCATTCGTTTGCATTATCTTCTTCTGTAACCTGTTCACAGCGAAGTTTATTGAAAAGGGTGTTTACACGAAGATATTAAGTAACAGTTTTTTGCGTGTAAGATTTAATAATTACGCCTCAGGTGTCAAATTCCTCTTTCTTTTTCCATCAGAGCCCATCAATGGCGTTCTTCCTTTCTTAGCCCTGTCGAGATCGATATCCAGCTCTTTTAATTGCTCCTGCATATATATACAAAGATAATGAGACTGAGAATATTGAAATTGTTTTTGATCAAAGCTGTCGGATTTGCTTATGCTCATCTTACCCTTAGTTCTTCTATTTTCACAGCCAGCTTCTCGACTTGTGCTCCGTGAGATTTTGAGACAGTACGTTGATGGTTACAAATGATGGCCACCTAAGGGATATAAACCAAACAATTCACATGATAACAATCTCTTAATTATCTATGAAAAGAAAACAGCAGAGAGATTAAATCGCCATTACCTCCTTGTTTGCTTGCTGATAAACCACCACTTTCTCAGGAACCTCTCCATCTCTGGTTTCTTTACTCAACTGTCACAACATCCAATCGAAAACAGCTCAAGGAAAAGAAAAGAAAAAAACTCCAGAGAAGAGAATGGAAAAGAAAATCTATATCATTAGGATGTGACAATTGATATATTTATATTATCATCTTGTATCACTACGTTTAGTTTTAAAGGGTGCAAAGAGATTGACATACCATTTCATCCAATGTGATGGATGCATTATAGGTACGGAAGACTTTGGCTGTGAGACCAGGCATGAGTTCCTTAAGGTGAGCATTGAGTTTTGAAGTATCTAGCTCATCAAAGAGATCATCGGTTTTCGATTTTCCTGGATAGAAGACAAAACCCTTAAAGTCATTTATCCAGTTTCAAAAGGTCAAGTATGAGATTTGATAAACCGATAAATCATTTACTAACCCGCTTGGAACTGCCCAATTGCCTTATAAACAGGGGGCTCAACCTCAACTGTGTTTACGTACTGAATAGAGTCTTTACCGAGGAAGTCAAACTGAAAATGCCAAACCGGATACCATGAGTAAACTATAATATGCAACCACAACACAAAACTTGTTGAACACAAACTCTTGCAGATATATTCTGCAGTCAATTTGTTCGTGTTGAGATCAAAGTATATACCTTTAACTTATTTGGAGGAATACAATCCACGTTTCCTACTTTCAAAGTACAACAACCAACAGTATCTGCCTCATCATCGTCCTATAGAAGAAAAATAATATGAAGACCAAGAAAGGAAGTGTGAGAAAATTGCTTGGAGTTGTTCTTATGAACAAAAAGCAGGTTTCATGGAGTAACTATCCATTATAAGCCAAAAACAATGATAAAACTGAATAAATAAAGGATCTCTTTCAGTGAAGAAGTATCCTTGTTAAATTACCTTCTCATTTCCAGCCCTGAGGGCTAGCTTATCGATGAGATATGTAGCAACAGCTATTTGCCGCTTTGTTACATCCTTGTTACCAAAATCTTTGGTGTATGCTGCTCTAATATGCCCTATGTGGTCCTGCAAACAAATGAAAGGTTGCTGATTAGAAAAGGGAAATGCATGATGGTTTACGCAAAAGCTTAAGCGGAATCAAAAGCTCATTACCTTTAGCTTCCTCGCTTTCTCATACTTCTCCTTGTCGCTTTGTCCCTTTAACGCACTGCTAGCTGCCAAGAATACATACTTGAACTCTTTTGGATTGATAGGATCATTCCAGAAAGCAAGCCACGTGACAGTATTGTCATGCTTAACTTCTTTCCATCTGAAAGAAACAGCATTCTCAAAATCAAGTCATAGAAACAACAACAAACGTCTTTCTTCAAAGGGAAACACAAAGAAAAGGACCTTTCACCAGGGATAGGGCATTCTGGAATAGGCGCCTCTTTACCGATGTTGATTGTAATATCACAAGGACGAATCCGCTTTTTCAGTTTCCCCATCTAGAAAGTAATAATGCAGAATAGAGAATCACTTAACTGAGAATTAACTATGGAAGATTGGGGGAACAAGGCATTAAACTGTTCTAAATGTGATGTGGACTAGAGCCCACTAACAGAATACATATAGTTCAAGGATAATGTCAAAACAAATGCAGCGAAACATACCTTAGGATGCTCTCCTCGGCCACGAAACAAACCAGGGGGTTCAACTCTGAAATTTCCAACCTACAATTGTTGCAAACTCTGGTTAGCAAATTCCGAGAAGCTGGAGATAGATTCCTATCAACAACAAAAAGAAAATTACCTTCTCCCTGACACCATCAAGAACAGCCCACATGTATTTCTCTTCCTGCTTTAATTTCTCCTCTTTCAAAATCCTTTTCTCCTGCATATCAGTAGCATTATAATGTTAGCAACAACAGCTTTTTCATCGGGATAGCTTACTAAGGAGATTTTGTCTTATTAGAAAGTGGTCATTTACTTCTGCGCTCATTTGTTTCTTTGTCTCCTTCTCCTGCATATACCATTCATATATGGGACTGAAATCACAATCATCTAAATTTCTGATCACATGATTCTTTCCAAGTAGTTTCCGCCAATCATTCCAGAAATTATCTCTGAACATTGGTTTACTGTAATATTCCGTTTCTCTCATCACTGCGAACATAGTGGCAACCTGCAGATAGAAATGAGGATATTATCAGCTCATCACTCATTAACAATGAGAAAGCATCAAAAACACATTGGCCAGTGAGATGAAAGTCACAATTTCAGAAAGTAAGCCCAAAAAAAAATGTATTATGGGAAAGAGACAGAGAAAGGACCTCTTCTTGTTCAGGAGTTAAGTCAACTGGCTTTCCCTGATACAATATCTTAACACCGTGACATTTATATGGAGGTGGAAAAATAACACCATTGTGCTCTAGAGTTTTCCATTTCTTTTGCCCATCTCCAGAAGGTAATGATCTTGAAGACTTGGAATAATTAAAATCTTTCACCCATTTGTTGGGCTTCTTAGCTATACTTTTGGACGAAGACGCTGTCATTCTACTAGCATTTGGTTTCACGGAGGATGATTTATTATTTGAGGAATCTGGCCTCATCCTCGAGGCAATAGGAACATGATCATCACCGTCTGAGTCATCTTCTTTAACAGTTCCTTGGTTAACTCTCAACGGCTTTGACGCATCCAGATTCTTTCCTTTGCTATCTGGCGTAGCTGCTGAATTGTGTGAACCTTGCTCAAGTTTCACCCTCTTAACAGAAGATTGGTTTGAAGAGCTTCCTCTCTCAAGAGGTCTCTTAGCAGATGCCTGAGAACTATTCCCTTCAATCTTAGGTTTAAACCCATTCCGACTGATATTGTTAGCCAAAGGTCTCTTTTGCTCATTATGAACAGGCTTGCTACTTGATGTACCCACACTGGCCTTTGTCTGAACCGTTGATGACATGTGAGCTCTCTCATCAAGATCTTTCCTTTTAGTGTCACCATTCACTCCCTGAGGCCTCACGTTGCTCTTTTGTGCTGGTTGCTGCGAACTACCACCAGAAGAGCTCGGTTTAAGCCTCACAATCAAAGGCTTATCATCCTCAGAATCCTCATCATCGTCACTTTTAGACACAGACGGAGCTTTTCCCAAACCGTTCCTCTCCTTAGCAGCAACAACGGATCTACCATCCCGCAATGGCGACTTCACCGTCGAACGCTGAACAGAAGAAGACGAAGGTAACGACGGTTTCATCATTGAGCTTCTACCCGACGAAGCTGGTCTATTCGGGCTTGTTAAAGGAGACCTCATTGGTGGTGGGGACTTGGTGGAACCCATAGCCGAGTTTCTCTGAGCATTATTAGGCTTTGGACGATTCGAGGAAGATGATGTATTACTATTGTTTCTCTTGAAAACCAAAGGCATTTCATCTTCATCATCATCATCCTCGTACCCGTCATGACCATTTGGCACCACAGGTTTCACAAACGCCTCAGTGGCCATACCCAAAAAGGCAAGTTATTCACAATCAAACTGCTGTTCAAACAAAATGAGAAAGGAAAGACATTTAATTTTCTATTGACAATAGAAAAGATGTTACATTTTCTAGAATAATTGAGATTCGCTTCGAAACAAAATCTTTTTTTTTATTGAAGCATGTTTTTGAAAGGAACCGAGATATATGCATCAACACAATTCAATGGTCCGATCAAACAAAAAGGTAACTTCAACATCTCAATTTTAAGCCCATAACACAAAGGAAAAAATAATCGAATCGAAAATTTGATATTTCAATGAATTAGATACGATGATTGAATGATGAAACTGAAGCTCATTTGTACAATTGAAAACTCGAATTCCCAAAGTGGAATGAGAAACCCTAAGATTGAAAATCAGATTGAAATTTGTAAAAATTGAGCTCAAAATCCAATCAAAATCTAGATGTAGATAATCGAAATTGACGTAGCTACCTTCGGCCACGATGGAAATCGGCGACGGAGCTGAATTGAATCTCAGGACACTACTCCTTCACGGATTTCTTACCTGCCTTGATTTGTGTCCGAAATTTGTGATGTAGAGGCTAAGTTAGCGAAAGACTCCGTATGGGACAGCGAGTCTTGACCCCTTTGACTTTACTACTTATGCGACGTCGTCTTAAAGGAGTGAAGATTAGTTTCCTCGCAAACCTTTACTTGGGTTAGGTGAATGAAGGCCCATTTTGGGAAATCCACTAACTGTTTTGGAAAAATAAAGAGATTGCTTTTTTAACCACAAAAAGAAAAGGAAAAAAATAAATCAATAACCAACAAAAAATATATATTACACAGTAACCATTTTCTCTCTCTGGCTTCATTGGTTACTGTAGCTTTAATTTTTTTTTGTAGAATTAAATCTGTAAATTTTTTGCTGTGACTGTAGATTTTAGTTCTGTAAGATTATTAATTTTTTAAAGTCCAAATTTTTTCCTTTACTTATTTTGTTTTCTACAGCCAAAACAATTAAAAAAGGAAAGAAAGATCTGTAGCTTTAAAAAATCTGTATAAAATATGATTGGAAAAAATTTAATGCTTTAAAAAATTATGGCTGTGTATAGATTCTACAGCACTTACCAATCAAACCCTCTATCTCTTCCTATCTCTCTTTAAAAAATTGGCTACTTTGTGAATTTTTGCTCAACAACTTCTCCCAAAGAAAAATAGATATGGAAAAAGCAAAAAAAGTCATGTTCCAACTGTTTATTTGAAATTGTTGTTGAGCTTACTACATGTATCAAACAGTAGTAACAATAAATTTCATTATACAGTAGTTTTCAATTTCAGATCTTGTCTATATTTAATAAGAAATTAAATGATATTAGCACTATATATATACTTAGAATTTTAATCATTCATACATAATTAAAACATTCATATATAATCCAGAAATAATAATGAATTTAGATATTAATCATAGTTATGTCAAAATTGGATTCTGTTGTATATTTTTGAGATAATGTATACTGGATTCCATTATTTTCAATAAAGAAGTGGAGATTACTTTCCTTTAAAATTTGGAATATACATTGTTCATAAGAATTCAGTAAACATGCATGCATGCATGTTGATGGTATTAGAGTTTGATCGTGGAAGAGAAGACAGTGGAAAGAAAGTTTGAGGAGTAAAAAAATAGTTAGAGGAAGAGATAAAAAGATTAGTTTCCAAATAGAGCAAAATACACACTTGAGGGGGGATAATGAGAGATGCCGATGGGTTGCGGAAAAATGAGTCTACCGTCTAGATCACGTCGCTGAATGTATTTTTCAAATGCTAAATTAAATTTAATGGGTGGGAATAAAAAGAATTGTATGGTTACTGTTAAGAAAAAAAATAACTCAAGTATTAAGTTGGTTGATACTTAACCCAAAAAAGTATTAAGTTGATCTTCCAATCCAATATGTAAAAGGAACCGAGAAGTCTTTCTTTATTTTTCTTAATATTTCTTTTTTACAAAATTAAAATTCTGGACTTATTATTATACAATAAAAAGAAACTGTTGCATCAATTCTTGACACTTCACAGAAACATCATCACTCGCTCATCCAAATTACACACTTGAAGCTCCTTTTTATCTATGAAGATGAGGAGTTCTTAGCCGGTACTTCCGTCGACTGCTTCGACTTCGCTCTGTCCTCTGCAACCTTCGACTGGATGTACTCCGCGCGCGCTTGATCACGCTTGAGGATTTCCCCATAGTCAATGTCCCTCCAGTCGAGAGAGCTGACTTCAATTTTTTTAGAGCCTTCTTCTCCACTCACTATTTTCTTAGCTCCTTCTGTGCAATACCAATTTGAAACATACATAAAGGATTATACTATGATATTCAACAAATTCCTCATTATGCTCATTTTAATCCTTTCCCTCACAGCAATGTATATAAAAGAATCATAAAAAGAGTTTAGTATAAATACCTTCATTCATTGTAGCAGAAAAAAAACTTTTTGAACGGTTCTTGAGTTGAAGATGGATCTCTTAATTAAGAGTTTTTGGTTTCTCTCTTCTTTCCTATAAACCTTTTTCTAAGTGTTGTTATTTTTTATGATACTTTGTGATGAAGCAAAGCCCATCTATATATAGAAGTGAGAGAGGACCAATTTTTTCTTAACTACTTCATAAGTAAGTTTTTTTTATCTCAACCAATCATCAAAGTTGAAATGAAAATTTAATTGCCAGATTTACTTTATGGCTAAGTATTCTTTTATGCCTAAGTTTCGATCTCAACCACACATACATTGATTTCATAGTCAGGTTTTTCGATCTCCACCATCTATTATTTACTTTGTTACTAAGTTTTAATCTCAACCGTTTATGGTTAAATTTATAATCTTAACCGTTCATCAAATTAGAGATAAAAACTTGATACTCTAGTTACCAAATATGTTAAAGTATAACAACCTCAATAGAAATTTATTGACTATAAAACATTAAAACCACATAATAGAGTTTGGAATTTATTCCTTACATAGAATTGTTATACGTTAAATTAGTTGGCCTTCTATAACCAGATTCCCTTTGCTCAAGAAAAATGATTCATGTTCCAACTGTCCATTTGATAGAGAAAAAAACAATATAAAGTTGGATGAATCATGCATGTATCAAAATTGTTGCTGAGATTATTAGATGTGTGTTTTCAGTTTCAGATCATGTCTATATTTAATAATAATTTATATTAGCACTATGTATATATACTTAAAATTTTAATCACTTGACATTTTAAAAGCATTCATATATATCCATAAATAATAATGAATTTAAAATATTATTCATGGATATGTCAAAATTGGATTTTGTTGTAAATTTTTAAGATAATGTATACTGATTTCCATATTTTCAATAAAGAAGTGGAAATCACTTTCCTTTGAAATTTGAAATATACATCTATTACTAATAAAAGTTGATGATAAATATCTCTAAGGGTGTCCACATAGAATTTAAATATTCAATTATATTAGTACACATCATCATTATTTTTAGTTAATTATATATTATATATTAAAATTAATTAATTTCATTTAATTGTTATAAAGAAAATTTCTAAATTTTAATTAATTTTGTTTTTGTTGTTATTAGGAAAATTTCTAGATTTTAAGTTAGTTATTAATAAAAAAGAGTTTTGAAAATAGATCTTATTTTTCTATTAACAATAAAAAGGTAAATTAACATATAAATTGATTATGAAACAAAAATCTTATATATTGAACAAAATTATTAAAAACTATATTTAAAACCATAACTAAATTATTTTAAAATTATAATCACGACAAACAATTAAAATCTGAACTGCTAACTTAAAATATATTAGTTGTGGTCCGTATTAATGTCTTAGGCTAATGAGAGCGTCCACATATGACATATATACTCAATATGATTAGTATATATCAGTGTTATTATTAAACATAAAAATAAAAAATATTATTAATAATTTAAATAAATTCAAACATACAAAATATATAATTATCACAATAGAATGGAAAATTAAAATAATTTTTTTAACTAAATAAAATAAATTTATGTCAAAAGTCTAAATCTATTGTGAAAATAAAATAGAAATTCATTGTCACAAAAACTAAACTAACAAAAACAAATATGTAAATCAATAACAAAAAAGTTAAATTAAAAAAAAATTAGCATATATATTTTAAATGAGTAATTTATTTAGAAAAAAATATTAAGATTAAATTTTTATTTAAACATATAAAATTGTTATTTAAAAATATCAATACTACCAAAAAAACATTCATCTTAAATTATCAAAAAAGAAAGTCATATAAAACTTATAATTTTTGGGAAAATATTTAAAAATTTAACACAAAAATCTTAACAAACCAAAAATGATACTTTATGCTAATTACTGAAGAAAACAATAAAAAAAATATTTAACTAACAAAAAACAAAACATAAATTATTTATTACAACATGTCAATACAATTAAGATGAAAGTCCATATCTCTCAAGAACAATAGCTAAGGGACCTGATACTACCACTTGGATCTGGAACCTACGAATCAATATCTCGACATAAGCCAAGAGGCAGATCTTGTGCCACTCCACCTGGTCGTATGAAACTGGCATGCATCCTGGCTCCCGAGACTCTTTCATAGAATTCCGCTCTCTCCCGTGGGCACATTCCTATTATAGTAGACGGGGACTTCTCTCTTTATTCCTATGGGTACTCCCCAGGCGGAGTGTTTAACGCGTTAGCTGAGCCCCAGATCAGAATAGACCAAGGGCGAACACTCATCGTTTACGGCATGGACTACCAGGGTATCTAATCCCGTTCGCTACCCATGCTTTCGCACACCAGCATCGGTAGAGACCCAGAGAGCTGCCTTCGCTTTTGGCGTTCCTTCGTAGATCCGTAGATTTCACCCCTCCACACAAAATTCCACTCTCCTCTGTCTCACTCAAGTTCAGTGGTTTCGAAAGCATTCCACCACTTTTTGGCGACTTTCACTTTCAACCCGATGAACCGCCTACGTGTCCTTTACGCTTAGTCATTCCGAAGAACACTTGCCCCCCCCGTTTTACCGCGGCTGCTGGCACGGAGTTAGCCGGGGCTTCTTCCTCGAGTCATGTCATGATCGCGCATTCGACGAAAGAGCTTTACGAGCGGAATTGCCCTTCTTCACTCACGCGATATTGCTGGATCAGGCTTGCGCCCATTGTCCAAGATTCCCCACTGCTGCCCCCAGTGGGAGTCCGGGCCGTGTCTCAGTCCCGGTGTGGCTGATCGTCCGAAAAGACCAGCTAAGCATCATCGGCTTGGTCGAGAAAGTTAAATTAACAAAAAAGAGGATATTAACCATCTGCTCGATTCCTTCGAAGTCGTCAAGTGAAGAAGCACCGTAGAAAGCCTTTGACCTCTTGAGCTATAATAAGATTTAGGACTGTAAATAAACAAAGGCACAGACGAAAACAACAGCCTAAAGCAAATAGTCTTGCTCGTGAAGAGCTCAGAGGGCATATAGAGTTCAAAGTTTGGGTTTAAACTTAGCACTACCAAAGCTCTCTCGGATCTCATCATCCCTCTCTAGTTGACCCTCTTCCGGTTGCAGCAAGACAGAATCATCCAGATCAAGATTATTATGTACCAGTGCAAACACATTCCTACACTTTTTTTTGATAGAACCGTTGTTGAAGCACATCTTCAAAGAAACTTTTCACTTCCATATCCTTAATCCCCCTTTTTGATCAAATAAGCATCACAAGAATCAGCGTTTACAATCAAACTTAAACAGCTAATTTCGGATCTGACTCTCAGGTTTAAGAAACTTATTGACTATAATCAATATGACTAAAATTAGCTTATTCAGACTCCATTCTCCAGAAATTTGTTGATGCTCCTCATAGTGTGATGTAAACTCATGACCATGGCTTTGTTGAGAAGCTCCTTGTGATTTAGATTTGTTTAATATCTATGTTATTTATTTAACAAAATCAATATAAACAGAATTAGTAAGAGAATAAAAAAAATTAAATAATACTAAAAAAACTTAACTAACAAAAATAACATAAATATTTAAGCTAATTATTTAAGAAATCAATATAAAGAAATTAATTAACTAAAAAACTAAAACGAAAAATTAAAATTTTACAAAGTATTATTTTTTTAAAAAACACTTAAAAATATATTGATTTGATATCTGACTAACTACTTAAAAAATTCATATAAAAATATTTAACTAACAAAAATTTTATGCCTTCAAAATATCAATATTTTAAAAAAAATGGTGTGTTAAAATAAAATATAAATCAATATCAAGAGAGGTAAATTATCAAAGGAAAAAGCCGTCTAAATCAAAATTAGCTTGATATTTAGACTAACTACCAAACAAATATTAACTAAAAAAAGCAAAAGATGGTATAAGCTTTGAGAGAGGTTCACTTAAAATTTAGGATAACCAGTTATAGCATGTCAAAATAGCATTTTAATTAATATTAAAGATAAATTTAACAAAGAAAAAGCATTTATGTAAAAGATATTAGATTAATATATATGCTACCTATTTGAAAAATCAATAACAAAAGAGATTAATTAAAATCATATATGTTTTAAGTATATCAAATCTGCAGAAAATTAGATAATTAAAATAAAATATAAAATTACCATCAAAGATATTTAAAATAACAAAAAACAAGATCTAAGAAGAAAATTAGTTTGAAATATAGTTCCAAAAATATTCATGATTTCTAAAATATTGGTGTTGACTATGAATAACCATATAAATTTTTAATAGGTTATACAAGTTTCTAAATCAAACATATTATTTAAATTGACAGAGATTAATACATTGGTTGCGTCTGGTTGGAAAATTAACAAAGTAAAATACTACCCAAGTAACTTTTCATTCAAAATATAAGTAATAAAATCAGATTTGTATACATATTTACTGCTTATAACTTAGTCAACATAAACAACATATGAGCAACATCCTCTAAAATTTTATTTAAATAATATAATATGACAAAGTTATGAATCAAATTCGAATGTGAATATATGAAGATAAAATATTTAAATCAAAACATGAATAAACACACAAAAGATAAAAAAAAAAACAGTGATAATGTGAAGTCTCAACATCATCTTACATGTTTAAAAAAAAATATTAGCAAATAGTTGGCTGCAAATAAAACAGATCTTATAAATTGAATAGAGATATAACCTAAAATTCGTAGAAGATTTGGTGAAGAAGCAAAAAGCAGTTTTACATGATTAGTGTAGCTTACTAACAAAAGTAAATCTGAATCAACATATATCATATATTATATATGTATATGTACACAACATTAGTGAGACATTTAGTAAAGAAACTAAATATTTAGACATATAAACCTTTTAAAAAAAAGAACCATAGAAATCCTAAGGATACAAAATAAACACCAAAAATTTAGTAAGGAAATCATTTTCTAAATTAAACATATGCACATCGAAGTTGGATAATTCGTTAAGTGTCATTACTATGATTTTAATTAATAAGATTATTTTATAAACAAAAATAGGAAATACTTTTTAATTTTTTTATATAAAAGAAAATTTCTATAAATAAATTATTATTTTGATAATTTAAAAAATATTAGCTAAAAAATTAAACTAAATTATTAATACAGATTCGTGCGTAGCGCGAATTAAAAACTTAGTTGTTCATAAGAATACAGTAAACATGCATGCATATGTTTATGGTATTAGAGTTTGATGGTAAGATCGAAAGGAATAGAAGAAAGAGGAAAGAAAGGATGAGGAGTAAAAAAATAGTTAGAGAAAAAGATGAAAAGATTGGTTTCCAAATAGAGCAAGATACACCTTGAGGGGGATAATCAGAGAGCTAGATGCCGATGGATCACGTCACTGAATGTATTTTATGAATGCTAAATTTGATGGGTGGGACAACAAAAATATTGAATGGTTATTGGCCTGCAAGAAAGTTGTTTAATATTCGAGTTCCAGTGCCGGTCCGACGATTTTTGATGCTCTATTCAAATCTAAAATATATATTTTTATATTATATTTAACATAAAAAACTATTTTTTAAAAAATTATAAAAAAAAAAATCTAATTTCAAACAAGCATAATAAATTTATAAATAGTTTATAAATATATATATATATATATATCATTGAAAAATAGTCTTCTTTACATTTCTGTTTGCAATTATTCATTAAATGCACGTAGTATAGTTTTCCAACCATAACTGTCTAAATCGATAATAAAGTCAATCAATTTAATCTTTTTAATATTAAATATTTTTAAAAATAATGCTCCTAAAATTTTTGATATCCTAATCCTTCTGCTTGCCCCATGGGCTGGCCCTGCGAGTTCTAAACAGTTTTGCTAGTTCTGATTTCGAGATTTTGTTACTTGTTTGCTGGATTCTCTTTGTCTGGAGTTTGATATCAGTTTTGATATGTCTAATTTCTTTCTTGCTGCAAAAAAAAGCAAATCTTACTTCTTAATTAAAGTTAACGTGTAGCGTTGTATAGACTATGCATTGCCAAGTAGTTAAATTTTGTAATTTTCGTTAATACATAATGTACCTTAGTTTTATTCATTTTTTCATGAAATAATGATGCGGAATCACGTTAGAAAACAAATGATTACCACCCAAAAAAAGAAACAAAACTTGCGCTTAAAGAAATCAATGACTAACAAGGTTTCATTGGCTCGTCTTTCCATGACTCCACTCTTTGTAAGCGGAGGGAAAAACAACAATCCACTGGTCACAACCACAAACCCCACCGTCAGAAGTCGTGAAACCATTGGACTCATCCTCCACCGCCGCACAAACTCGTCCTATTCACCGCTACTTCCGCGGCAGTGCAAACTCCATGTAGCACGAAAAACCAAGTGACTCTCTTGTAGGAATCTCAAGGGGTAAAGTGAAGAAGAACATCTCGTGAGCCACGCCGGAGAAGTTAAACGTCGCCAGAACCGCCAAAAACCTAGCATGATCGGAGCTCATTCTGCCTTTGCAGAGCTGCCGCATGAGGATGTATATAGCCGGCTTGAGGATTGCCGGGACCATGATGTTCCATTGGTGACTCCAGAAGTCTTTAAGAGATGTAGCTAAGTACGGTTCATTAAATTGTGGCTCAAGATTGCATCTAAGATGTAAAAACTCAAGTTCGACTTATAAAAGAGAATTATGGTTTGTGGATTTTAAAGAGGTCTTTTATTAGAAGAAGCCGGAGCTTGAGTGAATACACGAGGGTTTAGGTCGTCGGAATAAGAACGCCGACCTAAACTTTTATAGAAAGTAAATCGAAAGCTAGAACAATCAGATTGCTTTGTTTGCCCTAAGTCTCGATAGATGATTTTTTGGATAGGTTGAAGAGTCGAGGACTTCCTACATTTATAGCTGATCAGGTCGGTCTTCAATCTGCTTGGAATAGGAAACTCTTGTCGGCAAGGAGTTTCCTTTTTCCCGGTGTCGATCGGTAAATGGAAGATTTCCTTTTATGTTACCGACCTGGAACTTGTTAAACGGGCCGACCAGAATTCGTATCGAGTTTAGTTGGCTGCAAATAAAACAGATCTTATAAATTGAATAGAGATATAACCTAAAATTCGTAGAAGATTTGGTGAAGAAGCAAAAAGCAGTTTTACATGATTAGTGTAGCTTACTAACAAAAGTAAATCTGAATCAACATATATCATATATTATATATGTATATGTACACAACATTAGTGAGACATTTAGTAAAGAAACTAAATATTTAGACATATAAACCTTTTAAAAAAAAGAACCATAGAAATCCTAAGGATACAAAATAAACACCAAAAATTTAGTAAGGAAATCATTTTCTAAATTAAACATATGCACATCGAAGTTGGATAATTCGTTAAGTGTCATTACTATGATTTTAATTAATAAGATTATTTTATAAACAAAAATAGGAAATACTTTTTAATTTTTTTATATAAAAGAAAATTTCTATAAATAAATTATTATTTTGATAATTTAAAAAATATTAGCTAAAAAATTAAACTAAATTATTAATACAGATTCGTGCGTAGCGCGAATTAAAAACTTAGTTGTTCATAAGAATACAGTAAACATGCATGCATATGTTTATGGTATTAGAGTTTGATGGTAAGATCGAAAGGAATAGAAGAAAGAGGAAAGAAAGGATGAGGAGTAAAAAAATAGTTAGAGAAAAAGATGAAAAGATTGGTTTCCAAATAGAGCAAGATACACCTTGAGGGGGATAATCAGAGAGCTAGATGCCGATGGATCACGTCACTGAATGTATTTTATGAATGCTAAATTTGATGGGTGGGACAACAAAAATATTGAATGGTTATTGGCCTGCAAGAAAGTTGTTTAATATTCGAGTTCCAGTGCCGGTCCGACGATTTTTGATGCTCTATTCAAATCTAAAATATATATTTTTATATTATATTTAACATAAAAAACTATTTTTTAAAAAATTATAAAAAAAAAAATCTAATTTCAAACAAGCATAATAAATTTATAAATAGTTTATAAATATATATATATATATATATCATTGAAAAATAGTCTTCTTTACATTTCTGTTTGCAATTATTCATTAAATGCACGTAGTATAGTTTTCCAACCATAACTGTCTAAATCGATAATAAAGTCAATCAATTTAATCTTTTTAATATTAAATATTTTTAAAAATAATGCTCCTAAAATTTTTGATATCCTAATCCTTCTGCTTGCCCCATGGGCTGGCCCTGCGAGTTCTAAACAGTTTTGCTAGTTCTGATTTCGAGATTTTGTTACTTGTTTGCTGGATTCTCTTTGTCTGGAGTTTGATATCAGTTTTGATATGTCTAATTTCTTTCTTGCTGCAAAAAAAAGCAAATCTTACTTCTTAATTAAAGTTAACGTGTAGCGTTGTATAGACTATGCATTGCCAAGTAGTTAAATTTTGTAATTTTCGTTAATACATAATGTACCTTAGTTTTATTCATTTTTTCATGAAATAATGATGCGGAATCACGTTAGAAAACAAATGATTACCACCCAAAAAAAGAAACAAAACTTGCGCTTAAAGAAATCAATGACTAACAAGGTTTCATTGGCTCGTCTTTCCATGACTCCACTCTTTGTAAGCGGAGGGAAAAACAACAATCCACTGGTCACAACCACAAACCCCACCGTCAGAAGTCGTGAAACCATTGGACTCATCCTCCACCGCCGCACAAACTCGTCCTATTCACCGCTACTTCCGCGGCAGTGCAAACTCCATGTAGCACGAAAAACCAAGTGACTCTCTTGTAGGAATCTCAAGGGGTAAAGTGAAGAAGAACATCTCGTGAGCCACGCCGGAGAAGTTAAACGTCGCCAGAACCGCCAAAAACCTAGCATGATCGGAGCTCATTCTGCCTTTGCAGAGCTGCCGCATGAGGATGTATATAGCCGGCTTGAGGATTGCCGGGACCATGATGTTCCATTGGTGACTCCAGAAGTCTTTAAGAGATGTAGCTAAGTACGGTTCATTAAATTGTGGCTCAAGATTGCATCTAAGATGTAAAAACTCAAGTTCGACTTATAAAAGAGAATTATGGTTTGTGGATTTTAAAGAGGTCTTTTATTAGAAGAAGCCGGAGCTTGAGTGAATACACGAGGGTTTAGGTCGTCGGAATAAGAACGCCGACCTAAACTTTTATAGAAAGTAAATCGAAAGCTAGAACAATCAGATTGCTTTGTTTGCCCTAAGTCTCGATAGATGATTTTTTGGATAGGTTGAAGAGTCGAGGACTTCCTACATTTATAGCTGATCAGGTCGGTCTTCAATCTGCTTGGAATAGGAAACTCTTGTCGGCAAGGAGTTTCCTTTTTCCCGGTGTCGATCGGTAAATGGAAGATTTCCTTTTATGTTACCGACCTGGAACTTGTTAAACGGGCCGACCAGAATTCGTATCGAGTTTGTTAGAGACGGTACGGATCTCATCTCTAACAGTAAGTCCCCCCCCCCAGTTCGGCAAGTGAAGGTGTATTACTTGGTGAACTTCATGATATATTGCTTGATATGTATTCTGGTCGGCTATAAAAAAGAGTTAGAATAAAAATGAAATTATTACCTGGACTTCTGATCGGCGCAGTAATGAGAGCCAGATTGTGATTTTGGGCGCAAAAAGTGCCTGCCTAAAATGATGTAGGTTAGGCCCATGCCAGCGTATGCAGAACTAGAGTTGACACGTGTCAAACCCTAGCAGAAGGGGGCGAAGGGGCCGATTAAAAATATGTAGAAGAAATATGAAAGGTCGCCGAGCTCATGATGACTTTCGATAACCGTCCAGACCCTCCTATAAATAAGAGGACTTCGACTCTTATTTCTTCACTTCTGAATTTTTAGCGAAACTCTGTCAAAATCAGGTTTGCTCTCTTCTCTCTCCTTGTTCTTCGTTTATTTTAGCTAAAAGTTTTTCCGATCAGACCTCCGCCGCGTTTCGTTCGTTCTCAGCCGCTTGATTTCTCCGATTTACGAAAACCGTCATGATAGTCAGATATGAGCAAGTGTGTAAAGATCTGCGAGAGCCGACCAGAGTCGAGAGTGGTCGTATCGGCTAAGGAGAAAGCCGACGAGATCGGTATTTCTCTAGAAGAGTTTCTTCAGATGGAGAAAGACGACCGGGCCACGAGAGGCCGATCAAAGGGAAAAGAGATCGCGAACGATGTAGTGTCAGATCGGTCCTCTGATGCTAGCGAGTTATCCGCGTTAGATCGAGCTTTTCAAGAGCGAGTCAGAGAGGAAAATCAGAGGGCAGCAGCCGAGCGTTTCCATGCGGGTCAGGTCGGTGCTGATTTGAGGAGCGGTGAAGCGTCGACGAGGGAACCGTTTCTGATCTCCGAACTGCGAGATGAGTCGGACGAGAGGGGTGGATCGAACGAGATGAACATCTCCGACGAGCTGAATACACTCATTGCTGAAGATGAAGCGAATCAGTTCGGGATTGTTGATTTGAATCCTCCTGTTAAAAAGGTCAAGAGGAAGAAAAGCGAGCCAAAACCGAAGCCGACTTGTGATAATCTCCTTGGGGTATTGCCAACAAAATCGACTATGGAGTCTTTGGTAATACTGAAGGAAGAGTGTGACATCGGCCCTGAAGTCATTTTTATGATACCGAGCCCGTCAGAACGGCCATGGGACGCTCCGGAGGGATGGTTCTGCGTCTATGAATGCTTTTTCAGGGATTTTCATCTCTGGTTCCCTCTTCCAAGACTGCTGGTGGAATTTGCCGATCACAAGGAGATGCCGATCTCGCAATTCTCTCATTCGACAATCCGTCTGATCGTTAGTATGCTGGTGATGTCGAACATGCATAACATTCCTCTTAGCCAGGCTGCTTTTGACGCGATGACGAACACCAGGAGGACAAAGGAAAATTTAAGGAACCGAGGATCATACTATACGAGCATGAAGACCCAGTTCAATATAGTCACCGGTGGGCACAAATCGAAGGTCAACGATTGGAGGGATTATTATTTCTTCGTGCTGGTGAACGAGCATTCCATTATTGACCGAGACATCGAGATTCGAACGAAATGGGCGGAGGTCATGGGTAGAGACACGTCCGACCTAAAGAATTGTTTAAGATCACGTTGTGAACTTATCTGATCGGTATCTTTAATTTTGCAGGTAATAGGCATCTTCCATTTGTTGACGATCCCTTCGATATTTACAAGATTTCCGAACGATTTGCGGCGATCAGCGCAATCACCTGGCCGGAGATTACGGAAGAGAGGATCGAAAGGACAAGAGGTTGGTTCAACTTGTTTTGCTTATCCTTGTGAGTTATAAGGTCGGCTGACACTTTTCCAATTGCAGTTGCTCTACTTAGATACCAGAACCGGACTGACAAGATGAAATATCGCCCACTCAAAGATTTATCTGCCGACCTAGAGATGATGTTTGAATCTCCGGGTGTCAAGGAGGCCCAAAATCCTCCGCCGTCAGGGTCTTTAGAACAGTACGGGAATCAGGTCGTTCCAGAGGGTGATCTGGCCAAGGCCAAAGCGGCTGCCGACAAAAGGGATAGAGATTCGGCCAAGGCAAAGAAGTCGGCCGATAAGAGAGCTGCCAGGAAGGCAGAGAAGGCCCGGAAGAAGGCCGAACTGAAAGAGTCCGCAGGTGAAGATGGGCAGAATGCAGACAATGCGCCTGAGGATTTGCAACGGTCGAAGAGACCTCGGATTGATCGACAGCTTCATCGGTTTGGATTTTCCTATGACTATCGAGGGAATAGTCCATTGGTGAGCGATCCGGAATCCTGTCTCGACTATTTTCTCCGTTTGAGGGATCATCCGGATCTTCCTGCGACGGATCCTCGGAGCTTTATTCGCAGCGAGGCAATCGCGCGCTTTGCTAACGATCAGGCTAGGGTAAATCTCTCTTTATTGCTCTCTCCTGTTTCCCTCATATTATCGGTACTGATGAGATTTACGGATGCAGGCTCTGAGTACTGCACTGACGACGTTATGCGAGTACGATCGTGACGCCAAAAGGTGTCAATCCGATCATGCGGAAATCGAAGCCATGAAGGAGGCCCTTGAGGCTGAAAGACAAAAGAACGCCGCGCTCGAGGGCGCGATGCGGGCATCTGCAGAAGATTTGGCGAAGTTCCGTGCTGATAACGTCGAAAAGAACAGGCTGCTGAACCGAGCGGTGAAGCAGATTACAAAGGAGAGGGCCCACACCGAGAAGAAGTTTGAGGCCGAGCGCAAAGCGGTTGAAGAAGCAAATTTGCCTTCGGTCAAGAGGCGGCTAAGCGCGTGGCTGTTGCTGTGAATAACCACTATGCCGGTCTGGTGACGAAGGTGAAGGAATCGCTTTCTCGCAAGGAGAAAGACGAAGAACTTATTTCAACTGCGGCTCAATGGGCCGATGCGAAAAGGGCCCTTGAAATCATCCGTAGGCAGGGTTGCTCTTTCCCGATTTCGATTGAGGAAAATATGGAAAAAATGGTTGCGGATAGCAAGACGGAGCAGGATGCCTTTGAAGAAGTTAGCTTCACGTCCGATGAGCTTAAAGTTCCAGAGCCGGAGATTTTTCTCGAGGTTTCGAGTGGTGTTTTGTTAGAGGGAGCCGACGTGGAAGATGACCCAGAAGCCGATTGGGACGGCATAGAAGATGGGCGACGTGCAAGAGAAGGCGAAGACACCGAGCTGGGTGACGGTCACGAGGCCGACAAGGAAGAGGGAGAGATTCTGGAAGAAACTGAAGTTTAGCTTTCCCTTCTTGTTTGTAATCTATCGTGTACCCTGATAGTTTTTAAGAAACTAAGCATTTTTTATGAGTTGAAAATCTGAACACAACGGCGATGCGATATCGGCTTAAGTTTGTGCGATTTAAATTTCTAAATATTAAACGAACAAACGAATTAGATCGGCATGAATTCGATACTTAGAAATTTTCTTAAGTCGAATACGAACTGCGATCAGGTCGGCTTACATATTCCGCATGGCTTAAGAATTGCAGTGCGGGTTCTGATTTGTATACTGAAGTGTGAATACGAACGTGCGGGAGGCCCGACTTATGATTGTTTGTACCACTTCTCTTCTAAGTGTGAATACTTGATGTGCGATTCAGGTCGGCATCGATACATCGGTATCACTTAGAAATATCCGAGTTGAATGCGGATGCAAGACTGACTTGGCTGATAACAACGCATGGCTCAGACATAACAAAACAGGTAAAACTGTAGAATGCAAGGCGGACTTGGCTTTAAGTTGCCGAGCTAAAGTGGATCAGACTCTAGCTTTAGGCGGATCGAGCATCTGGCCAGGATGTCGATATGATAGTGAACACAATATTTTTAGAAAATGAGATTTTATCGAACTAGATTTACAAACCGAAAATGACTTGATGATGATTAAAAGAAATATTGGACCCCCTCCCCCTCCCCCCACCCCATTTTGGGAGGGGGAGCAGTTGCACCATCCGAAAATAGGTTGCCTACGTACCACTTTCGGGGATCAAACCGCTTCGTAGTTCATAGAGACTATTCCATTTTTTTTTTTTTTTTTTTTTTGACGATGCCGACCTCGAGGAGGTGCTGATCTAACTGTAGTATCTTTTGAGGTTGAGTGAGTTCCAGGCTCGTCGAATCAACTCGCCGTCCAAGGCTTCGAGCCGGTAAACTCCTGGTTTCACTATGTTAGTGATGATGTATGGACCTTCCCAGTTTGCGCCGAGCTTCCCGGCATTCTCTTCTTTGGTGTTCTCGTAGACTTTTCGAAGGACCAGGTCGTCTTTGTCGAAATGTCGATTATGTACTTTTTTGTTGTAGTACCGAGCTGCCTGATTCTGGTAGTTCTGCATTCGGAGCAACGCTTGGTTGCGTGTTTCTTCGAATGTGTCGATATTGTCGACCAACATTGTTGCGTTTACTTCGGGAATACTCGGGAGTACTCTTCTTCGTAGGCTTTCGATGTTGATCT